TCAATAACTTTGTTGTTAGTATGGAGCTTGCGGAATCAGCCGAGGATTGCCGATTGACGGTCAACCAATCAGCGTTTTCACCAAACTTTGGTGAAAAATTTTGAAACATGGATTTGATTGGCTTATATAAACTAGGTCAAACTATTTTCGTCAGAGGTTACTTGACACGATGAAGATAGGCTACAGTGAAGAGGTTAGTGTCAAGTTAGCTCTGAAGCTCAGGGTGCAATTCTGTAGTGCTCATAATATAATATCTTGATTCCATATAAGAATTACACATATCATCAGCATGGTATCACACAGATACTGAAAATTTATAAATGAAATTTACTAAAAATACATGTACTGATACATGATTTAATGAATATCTAAAGCAGTTTACACACAGAGCACTTTGTGAAAAGCAAACTTTAAAGATTAAAAAGATATTTTGTAAAGTACATTTTTCCTCTGAGGCTTACCTCTGGAAAGTTTTGCCCAAAGGATTCTGAAAAAATTATAAAAGAAAGTAAAATAAATTTTATTATAACAGCAATATAGAAATTAGAATTGCAACATTATTAACAGAGACCTACAAATTTTAACACAATTCTTTAGAATAATCTGTTCTTAAAAATATTGCAACTATCAATGTATCCGTATCTATCAGTATATGTCTAAAGAACCACTGCTGATATATGATAGATGGGAAGAGAGAGCTTAAGAAAACTTAATCACAGTGTAGGCCTGATCTAAAGCCTTCCACAGTTTCTGCATGAACTTGTTGGTCACTCAGTTCATTCCATTCAGAGACTGTTCTAACAAAGAAAGTTTTTTCTAACTGGTGTGTTGCGGTGTTGTAAAATGTAACAGAGACTTTTGTTGGTACTGTTAAAGCCAATGAATGATTTGGCCCTTACAAGAAGTTTGTTGGAAGCTGGTACTAAGTAAGTGTCAGGAGGTATCGCTGGATCCAACCCCTCAACCACCTTGAAAAGAAAATTAAGTTAGCCGCAGTTCCTTCCTCTGGTACTGCAGCAGAGGGAGATCCAGTAATTTTAACATGGAGGTACTTAGGTGACTGGCGGGGGTTGACTTGAGCTCAACAGCTCAGTGGTACAGCATTCTAACAGTAAGCATGTGTCAGAAGTTGGAGCTCTAGCATAGTCAGGTTATTTTCCCCAAAATAAAAACTACACTTATTGTGAAATGATCGCACACAATACAATAACACAAGGCATGTTATTTATGAAATATATTAAGTTTCACAGTCTCACATATAGTGGCATTTTCGTCACTACAGACCCATGTGATATATATTTTTAAATAATACATCAATTCTGTGACATTTCATAAATTGCAATAATATACTCAACACATGATTACTGTGTAGTTTGTAAACAGTCATTCCGCAATATGAAATCAAGACGTTTACAACCACCCTGAAAGAATTGGTCGTCGTTGTGCACAACATAGACTCACCTAAAAGTTCTAAATTCATTTTAACTTCTATTTAAAGTGCAGTTTAAGAGCAATTTGCCCAAAAATGCACAAAAAAATACCGAGCCGCACTTTGAACGGTTCGCACGCCAGATGTCACCACCTTCTGTGTGAGCTCTTGCGCACGCATAAAAACCATGTCAAAAACACAAAAGAATATGCAAACAGTTAGGATGTTATGCTCAATGACGCTATATTAAAAATAAGTAGCAATATTTAAATGGTTTTCAAGATAATTCATTTATTATACATGATCAGTTGTTTGAATAGTACTCTTAAAATTTGTATTAATCTAATTGACCTTATACGCGCGTTTTATCCACATATGTTTTTGCTGTGCTCGGCTGAAATGAAAGTAAGTTGACGGTAAGCAAGAACAAAATTTGAAGGAATCTAGATATTCTAATTTTCCACTTCGAGGTTAACTGTGAATGTATAACAACGACAGAGAGAATGTATAATAATTTAAATCAATAAGGTTTGGTGAAACGTAACGTAAACCTAAAGTTTTTGTACCGGTACAGTACAGATTCAGATTCTTGATTGATTACACAACTTCACACTCAAGATACAATCAGTGACAGCACAACTAGCTATAATAGAGCTCAAATGAAGAGATAAACATACAAATGAACATATTGATTTTTATATAAATGGCTATACAATAAGGGGTACCGGAGGAGAAAGGAATGTGCCAGAAGTGTGGCGTCAAGTGGTGTAAGACGTGAAGCAGAGTGGTCATTTTTAGCTGGAGATAAATTTCAATTGTACAGTTTTAACACTATCTATTTCTACATTTTATTTGATTAACTTTATATATCTGTGTATCCTCAATTGTAGTGCTATGTATGTTAATTATGAAATTTAAGCACATCTTAACAAAATTTGAGGGATGAAGTTTTAACCCTTCATCAATGAACTTTGGTCATATAGAAATACTGTATGTATAATTGATCCTTACTTATACTACTGTAATTCTTATTTTTCAGCAAGCATTGAAGAACATGCAGCGGTATGACAATCTGGCATCATCTACTTCAACATATATTCTCCATTGAATTCTGAGTCATGAGTCTGTTCATTGATGAAAAGGCAAAGGTCTGTGTGCATACAAAAATTAGTTTTTAATCTCTTTTACATTATACAAGGGCACAACTAGGGGATTGGGGCAGTCAGCTAAAAACTTATTGGATACATTCACTCCCGTCTCATCTTTCTCTCCCTCTCCCCCCCCCCCAAAAAAAAAAAATCAAAAAGAGTAGAAAGAGACAATATCAAACAAAATCTCCACCCCTGTTACTAACATATAATAGAAGGGTAGGGTAAATAATAAACTTTTTGGAAAACTATAGAGGAACAGGTGTTTTTAGAGGCAAAATGGGTCATAAAGTCCATTTTTAACGAGAAATTTGAGCCATTATTTTTTAGGGTTGGTAAATCAATCATTCTTGAAGGCATGCAAAGCTTGTGTAACTATATATATGCATATACCTGTATTGAGTAGGTTGAATCTTCAATGTTTTGAGGAACTGGTGTTTTCTGTTGCAGAAATTGATGCTAAATGCATACGTAAAAATAACTTTTTCCTCAACAAATATTTAGATGGTGAAATGATGATTTTCAGAATGGCAGATAAAATGCCCTTACAAGTTTCAACATAGGAAATTAAAGGACCCATAGTTTGTAATGTACCTTATTTGAGGTTTTTAGTGTTGTAAAATTTATTATTTTTCTTATGTTACCACTGCCAGTGTTACATAAAATGGGATTTGGTTACCTTGTGTGCTGATAGTTCACTGTCAAGCTTGACAGAAGAGCCAGAATCTCAGTCAGTCAAAAAAGTAGTGAAAAAATCTCTCAAGTTCTGCTGGATGTGAAATATAAGGAAGAATTAGAGTTATCCTAATCTCAAGCAACCAAAAAGTAAATGAACAATTCTATTATTTAAAAGGGATGGATATATTTCTGTTCTACATTGATTAAAGCTAGGAAAGCAATCATTGTCATAAACTGAAACCAGCAAAAAGTATATGTGTGCTAAAACCAATTTTTCAGATTAAAAATGTTGGCAGTTTTGGAAATGAATAGGAATAAATTGACCTGTTAACAGTAATGAATGAATTTTTGTTCCAGGTCAAAGTTCACATATGGGATCCAAGGGAACTGAGAGAGACAAGCAAGGAAAANTATATCTGTGTATCCTCAATTGTAGTGCTATGTATGTTAATTATGAAATTTAAGCACATCTTAACAAAATTTGAGGGATGAAGTTTTAACCCTTCATCAATGAACTTTGGTCATATAGAAATACTGTATGTATAATTGATCCTTACTTATACTACTGTAATTCTTATTTTTCAGCAAGCATTGAAGAACATGCAGCAGTATGACAATCTGGCATCATCTACTTCAACATATATTCTCCATTGAATTCTGAGTCATGAGTCTGTTCATTGATGAAAAGGCAAAGGTCTGTGTGCATACAAAATTTAGTTTTTAATCTCTTTTACATTATACAAGGGCACAACTAGGGGATTGGGGCAGTCAGCTAAAAACTTATTGGATACATTCACTCCCGTCTCATCTTTCTCTCCCTCTCCCCCCCCCCCAAAAAAAAAAAATCAAAAAGAGTAGAAAGAGACAATATCAAACAAAATCTCCACCCCTGTTACTAACATATAATAGAAGGGTAGGGTAAATAATAAACTTTTTGGAAAACTATAGAGAAACAGGTGTTTTTAGAGGCAAAATGGGTCATAAAGTCCATTTTTAACGAGAAATTTGAGCCATTATTTTTTAGGGTTGGTAAATCAATCATTCTTGAAGGCATGCAAAGCTTGTGTAACTATATTTATGCATATACCTGTATTGAGTAGGTTGAATCTTCAATGTTTTGAGTAACTGGTGTTTTCTGTTGCAGAAATTGATGCTAAATGCATACGTAAAAATAACTTTTTCCTCAACAAATATTTAGATGGTGAAATGATGATTTTCAGAATGGCAGATAAAATGCCCTTACAAGTTTCAACATAGGAAATTAAAGGACCCATAGTTTGTAATGTACCTTATTTGAGGTTTTTAGTGTTGTAAAATTTATTATTTTTCTTATGTTACCACTGCCAGTGTTACATAAAATGGGATTTGGTTACCTTGTGTGCTGATAGTTCACTGACAAGCTTGACAGAAGAGCCAGAATCTCAGTCAGTCAAAAAAGTAGTGAAAAAATCTCTCAAGTTCTGCTGGATGTGAAATATAAGGAAGAATTAGAGTTATCCTAATCTCAAGCAACCAAAAAGTAAATGAACAATTCTATTATTTAAAAGGGATGGATATATTTCTGTTCTACATTGATTAAAGCTAGGAAAGCAATCATTGTCATAAACTGAAACCAGCAAAAAGTATATGTGTGCTAAAACCAATTTTACAGATTAAAAATTTTGACAGTTTTGGAAATGAATAGGAATAAATTGACCTGTTAACAGTAATGAATGAATTTTTGTTCCAGGTCAAAGTTCACATATGGGATCCAAGGGAACTGAGAGAGACAAGCAAGGAAGACCATGTGATAAATCCCTTTTTAGAGTTTGTTGATAATCTACATGAAGACGACAGACAAAGGGACTGGAAATATGTCATAACAGTGTGCAGTGCTCAGGACTTAAAGCGGGTATTGTATCAGACCTCAGGATATTTGAAAAAAAAAGCATTGATCAAAGCACATGCCATGAAGACCATAAAATCCTAAACCATTTTTTCAGAAACCAAGCAAAACAGTCCTCAGATGAGATTCTCAAAGATTATTATTTCTGTCAAAATATATAATATATAATATCATAATTCTGCAGATGTTGTTCTATTTCTGTTAATTTTTTGGATTTAGGTCTTGAGACCCCTCTCTTGTTGTTTAGAATTCTATTGTATTTATAATGCTGTTTTAATTACTGCACCAGTGTCATGTTCAAAGATTGAGATATAAACTGGGGCAGAACGAAAATGTAATTTTGATACCAGTTGCTGCTTTTTATTCATTTATTTTTTTTTTCAAATTGATTTCATACGCAAAGTCAATGCAGGATGTTTTTTGCACAATTGTAGACCAAGGCACCCTCTACACACCCATTCACACAATGAGAAAAATGATACATATATTGCTATATAATACATGACTGTGTTTACCTTTAAATAATAGGAGAGAATCTCATTGGCTACAGTGATTTTACAGTAATCTTTGTATATATTCAGTTTGCTTGATGTGTATTTGTAAGTTCTGAGAATGAAGTGCATTTCAAATTATTGGTAGGTTTTTGGAGTGGAATATCATGAAAAAAAGAGATTAATGCAACAGCTGACCAATGTAAAGTATGAGAGAAAAATAGGCTCAGGAGCATATGGAAGTGTTATAACAGCTCAATTCCCAGAAGGAACACTAAAAACGCATTTAGCTGTGAAGAAGGTATGGTGGAAATTAGACTTGTTGTTGTAATTTAAAAAAGCACAAGACATTGTTTGAATTTTTTCTTGCTTAAATGTACACAGGTTTTGAAGAAAGGTACATGTACATTTCCATTTGTTGCATGTGATACTCAGAACTTAAATTTGTTTTTGTGGTCATTGTAGGCATTGACATCACTAATAATAATTAATATTATTATTATTATTATTATTAGAACTATAAGTTGGATTTTGAATGAACTGAAAACTGTGAAAGAGTAATAAAAGTAACTAAATTTCCAGGTGTGCGTCAATACGCGCTTTGAAGTATCAGATGCGACAATGCTCTTGCCTAGTACGCAATGTGATAGTGATGATTCTCAGCGGGGTTGGAAAGTATTGCATCACCACTCAAAATTTGTTCAGGGTATGATACTGTGAAAGGCGTACTGACACACACCTTGAAAACGGGTAGTGTGGTACGATCTATCTGTGAATTCGGGATCATTCAGTGCCGAGTTTGGTAGTTGGGTAGACATGAATAAATGGATAATTGTGTGCCTTATTACTGGTACCTTCAGACTAACAGGAGTGATTTATATCACTTAAATATGGCCCAATGAAACAACAACCAAACCGCTGGTTCAGAGTGAAAACAGTTAATGGTGAGCCCTGGTTATGTTGTTAGGCATTATGTGATGTTATTTTTTGCAATGTCATTATTATTTTCTTATTTATGTCTATACGTTTGACAACTTTGTTATGTTTTTCTTTCTACATTAGTTTCTCCCAAACAAATAAACTTGTGTGTGAATTTATATAATATATATATATAGGTTGAAGATCTAGACAGATTTCGGGAAAATGAGCTCAGAATTCTTGCCAAGTTAAAGCCCCCAGTTGCACCCAAGCTGTATGGTGCATATTATTACGAAGACACTGTCTATATTATAATGGAGTTGGTACAGGGTGAGTGTATAATCTTAGACAATTCTAAGATAAGTTTTTTTGTGTCTGTAACTTGAAATTGTAAATTAAGGACTGCAAACACTGTATAAATGACTGGGAACCACAATCAAGACCCCATCCCTAGATCCACCCATCTCTGAGGGATTTCTCGATCGCTAATTTGCATTCAGCTGAAGCTGTTCTGTTGTTTGTCACGCCTACTGAAGATGCTGAATTATAGTTAATTACCCCCTAACAGCTTCAGTAGGTATGCCAAACATCAGAGCTGCTTAAGCGAGAAAATCCCACGGGAAAGGGGGCAATCTTGCTTGATCGGGAATGGGGTCTAAATGTTCTAATTATATAAGTACTGACTGTGAGTGTTTAGGCTTTATTACATGTGTATACACATGCAAACACATATGCATATATACTTATATTATTTAAATTTTCATTTTATTCTCTTATTATTATTGTAATTAATCTGTTTTATTTCAGGATTCTCAGGTTCAAAGTTTGGAAAATTATATGGAAAAGACATGAAGAAGTGCTTAAAACTGTGCGAAGAGCTGCTAAGACNGTTACATTAGTTTCTCCCAAACAAATAAACTGGTGTGTGAATTTATATATATATATATAGGTTGAAGATCTAGACAGATTTCGGGAAAATGAGCTCAGAATTCTTGCCAAGTTAAAGCCCCCAGTTGCACCCAAGCTGTATGGTGCATATTATTACGAAGACAGTGTCTATATTATAATGGAGTTGGTACAGGGTGAGTGTATAATCTTAGACAATTCTAAGATAAGTTTTTTTGTGTCTGTAACTTGAAATTGTAAATTAAGGACTGCAAACACTGTATAAATGACTGGGAACCACAATCAAGACCCCATCCCTAGATCCACCCATCTCTGAGGGATTTCTCGATCGCTAATTTGCATTCAGCTGAAGCTGTTCTGTTGTTTGTCACGCCTACTGAAGATGCTGAATTATAGTTAATTACCCCCTAACAGCTTCAGTAGGTATGCCAAACATCAGAGCTGCTTAAGCGAGAAAATCCCCCGGGAAAGGGGGCAATCTTGCTTGATCGGGAATGGGGTCTAAATGTTCTAATTATATAAGTACTGACTGTGAGTGTTTAGGCTTTATTACATGTGTATACACATGCAAACACATATGCATATATACTTATATTATTTAAATTTTCATTTTATTCTCTTATTATTATTGTAATTAATCTGTTTTATTTCAGGATTCTCAGGTTCAAAGTTTGGAAAATTATATGGAAAAGACATGAAGAAGTGCTTCAAACTGTGCGAAGAGCTGCTAAGACATATAAATCACCTACATAATAAGCAAATAGGACATTTTGACATTAAACCAGATAACCTGGTAGTCTCTGTAGATGATGTAAGTTCTCATTTTATCAGACAAGTGTAATTAGGGTAGTGCTTGGGGGGTGGTATTGAACTGAAAAGTACTGACTCTACAGACGTACATGTAAAATTGATAAAATAAGAATGTTTGCAGATGACACAGTATTGATGTACTATATGTATTAATCTTCATTTATTCAACCATTAGAGCATGTATCAATTAAATATAAGATTTGTACATTTTTACATTAAACTATTCATAAATAACCAACTTATTGATTTCTTTACTTTTTAGCTATATAAAAAAATGTCTTTGGTTATGCTACTAACTTAACAATATTATAGTAACATACTTAATAATATATGAAAAATAATTATTGACATACATTTTTTGTATAGGTTCAAATAATTCCAAATGAAGCAAACATTAATATAAACTACCTACCCCCAGAAACATTCCTCAACATAAGGTCTCATTCTCAGTGAAGTTATTGTTTTACATAGATTACTCCAACTCTGTTATGAGTCTGGCTAAATTCAATCAGATTAACAGATTAACATTCCTCCTCTTGGCATTCAGAGGAATACAGAAAAGCTGGATATTTACAAGTATGTTAAAAACAAGAGTAAGGGTGTTAATCTTTTTAAAATGTAAGTCTGATTGCATTCTTCAAGAGTCCACATGGATCCATCTCTGTAGAATAATAGTTTTATTGGGAATGAACCCTATGAAACTATTGATATCTGAATTTTACAGATCAAAGTAAAGAGCAAAATTTGTTAAGCGCTGAATTTATATATATATATATATATATATATATATATGATCTTTCAAAATAGTTTCAAATATTTAAAATACAATGTTCATGCTGAAATCTTACATTTTTCATGTTCTAATATAGCAGCAGTTGAAGGTTACACTGGTTGACTATGGCTTTGCTCATCAGTTGTACAAGGATCAGGATCTAAGCGAAAGGTTTGGTACGCCATACTACTGTAGTCCCCAAATAGCCAGGGCTGCAGATGTGAATAAGAAGTCAGATATTTGGAGTGCAATGGTCACTGTCATGGCCATCATCCTAAGTGACCAAGAGACTGGACCTATACCACCTCTTAAGAAATGTTACCCAAATTACAGACTTTCAACTCTGCAGACACATGTGAGTATTTTGTGTGTGTGTGTGTGTGTGTGTGTGGACATCTTATAGTTCTATTATGTGTCTGTACATGTAGTCATCACCTGCATCTATTGTTCCTACTTTAGAGATAACACATTTCAAGGAAAAATGATGGGCTTACTGTCTTCAAACTTTGAGTCCTGGAGTTATCAATGTTGCTAAAATGGTCCCTTATATCTCCAAAACTGGCAGAAATAGGCCTATAGTTACTATTGAACTTGAATAGGAAGGTATTATTGCACCAGAATAACCCATTTTGTGCATCATTATTTTCTGTTTTTTGTCTGTACCTTTAGCTTTGCCGACTCTTTTTAAAATTTGACCAGTACATACTTTTGCAGCAAAGCATTTTATTACCATTTTACTGTATTTTTTGTTGAGGGCGTGGTGGGGGGGGGGGGGGGTCAGAATTACAAGCAGTCTTTTAAAGTTATTGTACCACCAGGGTAGGCGCTGGTGGTACATATGGTTTTAGTCCTGTCCAGTCCGGTCCGCCGGCTCCGCGGCCAAGTCACTGTTACCGCTTCTCCTCCTAGATTACAAGGGCCTGCGTACCCATCTCTTGGATTGAGGTCACGTATAATCTCAACTCAATCCACATAAAATTTGGGCTTCGTTGGTGCTAGGGTCTAGGTGTGGCACTCATCGCAATGCACCCTTGTCCAAAATTGGCAAAATTAAATGCTAAATATCTACCATACCGAAGGAATTATGGAAAAAATTTCTATAGAGGGCTGAACATAAGTCATATGTGGAGATTTCCAATATGCCCTTGGATTTTACCTTTGACCTTTATTTCAAGGTGAAACAGGCCAAAATTTTCTAAAAAAAAAAGGAATTTTTTACGAAAAAAAAATTATTTGTGCCAATATTCAGAAACTACACAGACCTAACCTATAATATTATTGGCAGGTGTTGCCATTAGGGACATCTTTCATCTCCGTCAGTTTAGGGTCAATCAGTGCATTTTCATGGTAGCAGGGGGCCATTAGATGCCAAAACAGCAAACTCTCTCTAATTCTGGAACCGTTAATGCTAGAGACCTCTTGTTTTTTGCATTTTGTAGTGCATGTCAAGCCCAACACTGATGGTGTCCATTTTTTTGTTTTCCTTACATTTTACGAGTTACGCTGTATCAAAAAGTACATTGTGATGGTGAAAGCAGAATGTGCAATATGTTAATGTGTAATAAATTTTGAACATCTGGAAAAGATATCATAAGGTTTGGCAAGGCAGACAACTTTTGGTCAAAAATGGCGTAATTTCATGAAATTTGAACATCTTGAACCTTTTAGTACCTCACACTTCAATTGAGAATTTCAACCAAAATGACCTTTTCTTTATTAGTACCACCAGCGTGTACGCTGGCGGTACTCATGGTTTTAGTCCCGACCCGTCTCGTCCGGCTCCGCCGGCTCCGTTGGCTCCGCCGGCTCCGTAAGCTCCGCCGGCTCCGCGTACTGGCGCCGGATACAAGTCACCGTTACCGCTTCTCCTCCTAGACCGCAAGGACCCCTGTCCCCATCTCTTGGATTTAGGTCACATATAACCTCAACTTGAACCCCCAGGTTTTTTTGTCTCAGTCGGTACATTGACCTGGGCGTGACGCTCCTTGAAATGCACCCTTGTCAAAATTTTTGAAAATTCAATGCCAATTATCTACCCTACGGAAGGAATTATGGGAAAATTTTCTACAGACGGCTTTCCAAAAGTCATATGTGTAGATTTCAAATATGCCCTTGGATTTGACCTTTGACCTTTATTTCAAGGTCAAACGGGCCAAAATTTTCAAAAAAATGAAATTTTTTACGAAAAAAAATATTATTTGCACTGTTATTCAGACACTACACAGACTTAACCAATAATTATATTGGAAAGTGTTACCCTTTGGGTCATCTTTCATCTCTGTGAATTTGGGGTCAATCGGTGCATTTTCACAGGAGTAGCGGCCATAAAATACCGAAAATGAAAACTGTCTCTAATTCGGGAACCGTTAATGCTAGCGACCCGTTCTTTTTTGCATTTTGTAGAGCATGTAAAGCCCAACACTGAGAGTGGTCTCCGTTTTTTTGTATTTCATACGGTTTTCGTGTTATGCTGTATTAAAAAGTACTTTGTGGTGGCACATTTTTGTAACTCAGAATTGTAACATTTAGTCCCTTATATCTCCAAAACTGGCAGAGATAGGTCCATAGTTACTATTGAAGTTGAATAGGAAGTCATATATTGGCAATGTAACTGTGACCTTAAAATTGACCTTTGACCTACTTTTCACCATGAACTGAACTTTGCATAGTTTCCATCCCTTATATCTCCAAAACTGGCAGAGATAGGCCCAGTCACTACTGAACTTGAATAGGAAGTCATATACTGACAATCTAACGGTGACCTTAAAATTGACCTTTGACCTACTTTTCACCATGAACTGAACTTTGCAACCTTTCTATCTGTTATATCTCCAAAACTAGCAGAGATATGCCCATAGTTACTATTGAACTTGAGTAGGAAGTTATATACTGGCAATCTAACTGTGATCCTGTAATTGAACTTTGACCTACTTTTTTGCCATGAATCGCACTTCACAAATTTGGATTTTAACTTTTACTTTTCCCCATGATTTTGTTTTAAGCTGTAATTTTCAATAAAAATATTTAGAACGCTAGACTGCATTTTTTACATCTTGCCAAGCACAACACTGGAGATGGTGTCCTTTTTTTTTTTTTTTCAGCTGGTGGCATAATACCCAGAGGCGGTATGGCCTCTCTGATCCTCTCTGATATTCTAGTTAATGTTATATCTCTAACAGACATGACCAAAAGTAAATTACTGTTGACAACTTTCAGTTAAAATGTGAAATCACTGGACCAGAAGAATTAATTGCTTGTCTGCCTGGCTCTGTTGACAAGCATTTCCAAGATTTACTTTCCCGGGGACTTGGTGTTAAACTGAGACACAGGGCAGGTCCAAGGAAACTCCTGAAACACAGAGCTTTTAGCAGTGAGTAAAAATGTCAAATATTGGTGAAAAGGAAGATCGTTTCTGAAGAGGCTAAGTTTGTTTTTCAACTATCAGACCTTGCAAACAGATAAGGTGTTTACTAACAATAAACACGGATCTTTTAGCACTAAGGCCCATATTAGCCACATAACCCACAATTTAACCAACGCACCAATGCGATTCCTAGCAATAACATTCATCTGCTCTGGTAGTAGTAGTTAATCTGCGGGTTATGTGGTTAATATGGGTGTTAGTACTAAAAGATCTAGTACGGGAAGTTTTAGTTAATGCCTAATCGTTTATAAGGCCTACTGTAGCTGCTTTATGAGGCATGGCTTCATTTTAATTGTTCTTAGGTAACGCCTTGACACAAGTAACAATGAAAGACTAATTTTGCCATGTCTGCAGATATTGTCCCTTTAGAGTTCATATTTTTTAGTTTGATTTTGATTTTTAGAAATCTCACAATATTTCACAAGCAAGCAAATATAATACATGTACTAATGAAAAGCTGATTTTACCTTGAAATTGTTTCAGAATTCAGGGAAATTTTTATGGCACTGCAGAGTTTCCTTCAAGAGCAAAGATTGGATGATGGATTCTTAAGTGACTATGCCAAAGATAATTTCAAAGAAATGATAGGAGATCCTTTGAATGAGAATTGCATGTTTAATGCATTAGCTAATCAATTAGTAGAACATCTTAGCTTGCAGACAACAGGACAAAAGTTTCGAGAAGAAATAGTTAAGCATCTGAGACACAATCCAAAAAAGGTTTGAAAATTTTTATTAATGTATGTTTTGTTGACCAAAGGAATCTGTACTATTTCAAAAATTTATGCAGAATGCTTGAATGGCAGGAAGACTGAAAAGAAAAAATAGCTAATTTCTCTGCAATTAAACTAGTTGAAGCATTGTTTCAAGAAGCAAACATAATTTGCCCATTTACAGATATCAGTTGTATAATGTTAATGATTGGATCTTTTCAATGGGAAAAAATGATTAATCCTTCTTTTTAGGATCTTTTTAGAATCATTAAAATTATATTTCGATATAGGTTTTGTGGTGTTTCTACTACATACAAAAGAAATACAAGGTAACCTGCTTTTCAGTTTTGTCGCTACCACTCAATAGGAATGTTCTAATTTTAGGAATCTGTGCAATTTACAATTTTCCCCATTGAAAAGATGAGTCAGTACGGTAAATTAGATTATGTCACAAACAGAGTTTAAGTGATTAGTGAAAAAAATATTCCAGACAGATGGTATGTCACTGGTGCATTTCCTGGACAATGACGACCCTTCCTGGAGGCAATACAAAGAACAAAAAGCACATATCTTCCAAAAGACTGCAACCGAGGACTGGCACACCAAGCAAAACCAGCTGTGCCAAATTAAGTGGAGGTGGTACCTTCGTCACATGAGTCACAGTGGCACGCAGGGAGATGCTTTAATTCTGTGGGCAGCAGCACAGCTGTATGAAGTAGACATCAGGATTATTGCAGACAATGGAAATCATTTTGTTATACGCACTGAAGCAGAGTTCCCGCAAGCAGAGCTTCTACTTGGTTACTATCAAAAACTAAGATTTGTCAGCTTGCGTGATATTGCAGGTAATGTAGAAGTTGAAATATTACTGGACTTGGTATTTGAAGCACATGAACTTTATTTATTCAAAAATAATCATTGATATTTGTAACACTTGAAGTGATAAAGGTTATTTAATATGTACATTGCCAAACTTAAGATAATAGATTTGATAGAAACATATATACATGTATATACCAGTATATAATAATTGATTACATAAGAAAAATAACATTAGTAATAAAAAAATTCCTATACAAATGAAGTGATTAGTGATCACTCTCAGTCACTTTACAATGTATGTTTACTAGTAGTTTTAGCAGGAATTGCTTTTAAAGAAAAGAATAATTTTTTCAGTCACAGAAGTGCTCAATGCAGACCAGGTGCCAACTGGTGAAGTACTGTTGGAGCTACTGACACCTGCTATTCCAATTTTTTTGGAAAATGCAGAGGTACATAATAATATATTTCCCTTGGCTGTTAATTGATGTTGACTTCATAGATTACAGAGTAATATTTGGTCTGAAATGTCTATATCAAAAACAATATTTTATTGAACCCAAGTCAAGGAAAGAATGCATTTGTAGCAAACTTCTCTTTTGAAAAAAAGGTAGCAATTTCCGTACTTAAAAGCACAATAATACTGAAAATAATAGCCATTAAGAAATTAGATTTTTTTTAATGTACTCTTTGGGTAATTGATATCAAAGTATTATAAAATAGAATTGATTTAATGATTCAGTTATGTGAAATATTACTCCTTTGCACATCTTTTGTCAGAAGTCCCAACTTTCCGTTTCAGGAAATGATTGAAGTCCAAACTGAAACAAATGTAGATCAAGCTGAAGTTACTGAGGACCCAACCAAAAAATAATATGGTACATTGACCAGATACGCTTGTGTCTGACTCTGGATGGGGGAGGATGTGGGGTCAACTCGGTCTGGATTCGATTTCAACCATATAAACGAGTACAAATGCACTTGTTTGGTCATTAAAGAGTGGGCTGACCACTCGGATTCTTAAAATTTCCGCTTCAGTGATTTTGTGATCAGCTGTTACAAAATCATGTGTTTTTCCTGTCTCGTGATTGGTGTGAATTAATCAGGTTCAATATATGGTAATTAATTAAGCCTGTTTAAGGTAGTCACCAAATCCATTATGACACATGACAAAAAAGTTCAGTGATGCCATGCCTGACACTGGAAGAGGGACTGTAGACCCTGGGGATACTGGAGGCTGGGTGGAACGAAAGAGATCTGATCACATGACCTTGCATTTGATGATCTTTTCTGACTTTTATTTCACCTTGTGTGTCTGAATAATGGGTCATATTTCGCACGAAAACTGTAATTTTCTTAATGTGCTAAAGGAACTTAAAATATTATTTGATAAATAAATGATGCATTTTCATTGACTGTCAGTATACATTTACTGAGATTGATTATTCTATTTGAAACTTAATGGTGGCATTTGGATGGGGTTTGTAACAAAAGTTAAACTTCAAATACATGTTGGAGGCTGTGTATATTCTGAAGTGTAGCTAGATTGGCCAACTAGGATTTCTGGTCTGGTTGCAGTTGGCATATTTTTTTCTTGTGCAGGCTTCCATCAAAATTCAATATCATTGTTATTATTAAGTCCATTTTGTGTATAAAAAGATTGGAATATTTTGTGATAGATTTATCATTATATCGATTGAAGCTCATTGATATTTAGTTAATTGAAAATTTTATATATTTTGTAGTGCTTAAAAACATAAATCATAATAAATCATAATCACGTAGTTGCAAAGCTTATGATGTGGATCAAGGGATTTTCATAGAATCCAGGTGCTTTTTGATCAGTATATGTCAACAAATGTTCCTGATTTTTTTTTATTTCTGTTGAAGAAATCATGCATAAGGTGCTATTTTATGGCAATCATAGCAAGGTCTTGTTTCTATACAAATGTCTTGCAAGGTTTTTGCATCTGAGTACTGTAGTGTGGGAGAGTTTAGGAAGAGAGCCAAAGAGCTGTGTACGATGTACTTTCATATTAAGTTAATGTTTTATATTTGTCTTACCATTGTAATGTAAGTGTCATCTAATGACTGACTTCCTTTATTTTAAATCTTATGTATCAGCAGACTATATTGAATGCATATTTTACCACTCTGCTTAAAATGCAAAGAAAAAAGCTGTGATAGTAATGCAGTTATGTTGTAGAAATTGAAATGGTTGTAATCCTTCAAATTCAAGGTTAACCATAGTGTTGTGAGACACATGGAGCTGTTATGCTATATTTAAACATTTATCATACACTTTGATAAAGGTTTAAAAACAATTAAAATTATATATTTATGATTATACTGTTAAAGCTGAATAAATGCTATTTTAATAACATTTATTTTGTACATTGTGTCTGGCACTTCACTTTGAAAAACCCCTTAACATTTTCATGTTATGAGAAGTTGAGAAAATATTGTTGCACCTGAACATTCACAATGAAATGGTATGGGGACATAATATGAAGAGTCTTTTCTTCATGGAAGTCCAAATCCCATGGGTATGAAGATTTTTCATGTTTTTTTCACCTGATTTTTTACCATCAAACTTTCAAATATTTCCATGTTGAAATGATCACCCAATATCAAATATATAGCTTTTTCATAGGGGGTCGTTGGGTGGTAAAATACACATTTTTAATTTTCTTATTTTCTCATGAAAAATTTCACCCGCATACTAGCAAAAAGTGCCAATGTATCCTCCATTATGCATACTACAAGATATAAGTCATATGTTCAAATAAAATTTATAGAATTTTGTGGGGGAGTCAAAATTCTATGGGGGAGTCAGATAAACAGAGTGTCTGATTTTGCTTTAAGTTACAAGAATAATTTGCTCTTAAGTTATAGAGGGCATATGCAGTTTTTTTATTTTTATTTTATTTTTCCAAGGCTTGATTTTGGAAAGGGACGAAATAACTGCCCTTTTTGCTGGAAAAAGGTCCACTCTAGGTAAAATTTGATCTAGATACATGTAGATTTTATGGTAAAAGGTCCACATTTTCAGAAAAAGAACCTCCTCCCCCATTTGAAATTGATGGCTACGGGCCTGTTTCGTGTGCACTCAACAATGCTATAGACCCTGACAGCACACGCCCCCAGGGCCAGGATGGTTAGGTAACGGGCTTATTGGGCGGGGGCGTCATGATAGTCCGAAGGTTCATTGGTCCGAAGGTTCATTGATCCGAAAAGTGGTAACATTTTCATCCATTTTTTAATCAAGGGTTCATTGGTCCGAAGGTTCTATAGTGAACATTCGGACCAATGAACCTTCGGACTATTGAACCTTCGGACTATCGCTACGGCCCCAATAGAGGCTGTCCGGGTTCTCAACGAGAAGACCACATTTCCCCGTGATTTTACGGGATCTGCCTTGAGGTGGGGTTAAAATATGGAGACCACAAGGAAGTAGAGCAGCGATTTGAAAAATAGCGACTTGAAAAATAGCTGAACTTCCAAAATTTTTGAGCTACAGGCTTGTTCTTTTTTCACTTTATAAAGGAAAAGTATTGATATAATATGTACGTACAACTGACATGAGATTCATTTGCAACCTTTTTGTCACTTTATGGGAGAGGCATGACTGTTTTGCTTTCAATGAAATCAATGTTGAAAGTAGGTCCATGTACATTCTACAAGCATTGGACATTTGTAAATAAAATAATCCAGTGCTGTCAAGGGCTTAATTGCTTCATTTTTAGGTTATCATAATTACTAAATTTAAATTGTTAACTCCAGCTTATCGNGATACAGCGTAACTTGAAAACCATATGGAATACAAAAAAACGGAGACCACCCCAGTGTTGGGCTTTACATGCTCTACAAAATGCAAAAAAGAATGGGTCTCTAGCATTAACGGTTCCCCAATAGAGGCTGTCCGGGTTGTCAACGAGAAGACCACATTTCCCCGTGATTTTACGAGATCTGCCTTGAGGTGGGGTTAAAATATGGAGACCACAAGGAAGTAGAGCAGCGATTTCTTTACTTGAAAAATAGCTGAACTTGCAAAATTTTTGAGCTACAGGCTTGTTCTTTTTTCACTTTATAAAGAAAAAGTATTGATATAATATGTACGTACAACTGACATGAGATTCACTTGCAACCTTTTTGTCACTTTATGGGAGTGACATGACTGTTTTGCTTTCAATGAGATCAATGTTGAAAGTAGGTCCATGTACATTCTACAAGCATTGGACATTTGTAAATAAAATAATCCAGTGCTGTCAAGGGCTTAATTGCTTCATTTTTAGGTTAACACAATTACTAAATTTAAATTGTTAACTCCAGCTTATTGCAATATGAAATTTCCTACTTCTGTTTTTTTTTTTTTGCAAATATTCTTCAATCGGTGTTGGCTACAAACTTCTTTTTTTCACTATTTCCCAGATGTAGATGTCAAGAACTTAATATAGTTATCCACTCTTTTTCATTTTTAAATTGTCACTGTATATTACTGTCTTTGGGATTTTAAAGAGATGCTTGTCTAAACGTGCCAGTGGATGCAAAATAGACATATTAAAGATATTGTTCATTTTTGATTGTTCTTCATTGGCTGGTCATTTCATGAGATCCGTTTGAACAACAAAAACTTTATAACTGCAACTAATTTTTCTTTATAAATGTTTTACTATTAAACTTTATTTATAAAGAAGTAAAATAAAATCATTTTGGGGGGGTTCGGGGGATTCGAAAGAACCACCCTTTTTGCTGGGAAAAGGTCCACTCTGGGTACAATTTGATCTATGTACTTGAGGATTTTATGGTAAAAGGTCCACTTTTCAGAAAACGAGCCCCCTCTAAAATTGCTGGCTACGGGCCTGGTTACCGTAAAAGACTATTAATCACAAGTACTAGGGCTGTATTACATTAATAAACCATGGTGTCCTGTAAACTACACACACAAAACTTATTAATATGCCCCTCTACCGTTGATGATACGGTCTATACGGTGATGCCTTGAAGCCAGTGACGTGTCGGGGGCTAGTTGTCTGCAATTGGTCCCTTTCTTCCTACAAAATACTGCGACCTGATCTGTACTTTAAATATGTCGGCACTTAGTCCTTTTAATCTGATCAAGCCCAACTTCTCTTTCTTTACATCACTTCTCTCGCCAGTAGTGTCCGTCATCCATGGTCATTTTCCTGGTTTTCTCGCTTAGCTTTAACTGCAATGCACCCTACGACACGACATTAGCAATTCGCCATTGCGTTGCTTTATCTCAAATTACATGACAACGCCAAATTTTACTCAATGCAATCCTATAACATAGACTTGTGCCCAACCGCGAGAGAAGTTTCAATGGCAGATTTTAACCCCACCTCTCGTGAAATCTCGCTCCAATCCAGGTCTCGTTTGACGTCATCTGCTGTGCAGATGTTCAAAATAGGCTATCTCGGATGTTCCCTATTAGAGACAGTTTTCAGTTTCGGTATCTTACGGCCGCTACTCCCGTGAAAATGCACCGATTGACCCCAAATTCACAGAAATGAATGATGACCTGAAGGGTAACACTTTCCAATAATATTATTGGTTAAGTCTGTGTGGTGTCTGAATAACAGGGCAAGTAATTTTTTTTTCGTAAAAAAATTCATTTTTTTGAAAATTTTGGCCCTTTTGACCTTTGAAATAAAGGTAAAGGGTCAAATCCAAGGGCATTTTGAAATCTTCACATATGACTTTTGGAAAGCTGTCTGTAGAAATTTTTCCCATAATTCCTTCCGTAGGGTAGATAATTAGCATTTAATTTTGCCATTTGTAGACAAGGGTGCATTGCAATGAGTGCCACACCTAGACCCCAATACCGACAAAGCCCAAATTTTACGTGGAACGAGTTGAGATTATAGGTGACCTAAATCCAAGAGATGGGTACGGGGGCCCTTACCGTCTAGGAGGAGAAGCGGTAACGGTAGCCATCCGGCGGAGCCAGCGGAGCCGCAGGAGCCGGCGGAACGATCCGGACGGGACTTAAACCATGTGTACCGCCAGCGCTAACGCTGGTGGTACAATTTATTCTTATGAGTTAGAATCAATAATTTAATGTGATAAAATATTCAGCCACATTTCAAGCAACTGTAAAAGGATATTTTGTAATTCTTGTTCCCCACTGATCTGCTACTGATCTGCATCATGTCCAAACTGCAGGTACCTCTTGTCCTTGGTGTCCAGTATCTGGTCATTCAGTCTTGGCAAAACATCCTCTTTTTCCATTATCCAGTCCAACACATTATCTCTGTCAGTCAGTTCACCCTGTCAAATTATGATAGCTTCCTGTGTAATGATGACAAAAAAAGGCAAATCTTTTCTTAAGACACTAGTAAAGGTTTCTACCTACTGAACATTGGAGTCATCCTCACAGAGTATGACATCCCAAACGACAGACTGCACACACAGTTTAATATTTTTGATGTAAACTATGTTAATACTGAGCATTTTCAGTCTAGTTAGGGCTAAAACCAAGACACCTCCTACACACAAGCTGGTAGTACTATAACTATACACACAGAAACCAAGNTTGCTGGGAAAAGGTCCACTCTGGGTACAATTTGATCTATGTACTTGAGGATTTTATGGTAAAAGGTCCACTTTTCAGAAAACGAGCCCCCTCTAAAATTGCTGGCTACGGGCCTGGTTACCGTAAAAGACTATTAATCACAAGTACTAGGGCTGTATTACATTAATAAACCATGGTGTCCTGTAAACTACACACACAAAACTTATTAATATGCCCCTCTACCGTTGATGATACGGTCTATACGGTGATGCCTTGAAGCCAGTGACGTGTCGGGGGCTAGTTGTCTGCAATTGGTCCCTTTCTTCCTACAAAATACTGCGACCTGATCTGTACTTTAAATATGTCGGCACTTAGTCCTTTTAATCTGATCAAGCCCAACTTCTCTTTCTTTACATCACTTCTCTCGCCAGTAGTGTCCGTCATCCATGGTCATTTTCCTGGTTTTCTCGCTTAGCTTTAACTGCAATGCACCCTACGACACGACATTAGCAATTCGCCATTGCGTTGCTTTATCTCAAATTACATGACAACGCCAAATTTTACTCAATGCAATCCTATAACATAGACTTGTGCCCAACCGCGAGAGAAGTTTCAATGGCAGATTTTAACCCCACCTCTCGTGAAATCTCGCTCCAATCCAGGTCTCGTTTGACGTCATCTGCTGCGCAGATGTTCAAAATAGGCTATCTCGGATGTTCCCTATTAGAGACAGTTTTCAGTTTCGGTATCTTACGGCCGCTACTCCCGTGAAAATGCACCGATTGACCCCAAATTCACAGAAATGAATGATGACCTGAAGGGTAACACTTTCCAATAATATTATTGGTTAAGTCTGTGTGGTGTCTGAATAACAGGGCAAGTAATTTTTTTTTCGTAAAAAAATTCATTTTTTTGAAAATTTTGGCCCTTTTGACCTTGAAATAAAGGTAAAGGGTCAAATCCAAGGGCATTTTGAAATCTTCACATATGACTTTTGGAAAGCTGTCTGTAGAAATTTTTCCCATAATTCCTTCCGTAGGGTAGATAATTAGCATTTAATTTTGCCATTTGTAGACAAGGGTGCATTGCAATGAGTGCCACACCTAGACCCCAATACCGACAAAGCCCAAATTTTACGTGGAACGAGTTGAGATTATAGGTGACCTAAATCCAAGAGATGGGTACGGGGGCCCTTACCGTCTAGGAGGAGAAGCGGTAACGGTAGCCATCCGGCGGAGCCAGCGGAGCCGCAGGAGCCGGCGGAACGATCCGGACGGGACTTAAACCATGTGTACCGCCAGCGCTAACGCTGGTGGTACAATTTATTCTTATGAGTTAGAATCAATAATTTAATGTGATAAAATATTCAGCCACATTTCAAGCAACTGTAAAAGGATATTTTGTAATTCTTGTTCCCCACTGATCTGCTACTGATCTGCATCATGTCCAAACTGCAGGTACCTCTTGTCCTTGGTGTCCAGTATCTGGTCATTCAGTCTTGGCAAAACATCCTCTTTTTCCATTATCCAGTCCAACACATTATCTCTGTCAGTCAGTTCACCCTGTCAAATTATGATAGCTTCCTGTGTAATGATGACAAAAAAAGGCAAATCTTTTCTTAAGACACTAGTAAAGGTTTCTACCTACTGAACATTGGAGTCATCCTCACAGAGTATGACATCCCAAACGACAGACTGCACACACAGTTTAATATTTTTGATGTAAACTATGTTAATACTGAGCATTTTCAGTCTAGTTAGGGCTAAAACCAAGACACCTCCTACACACAAGCTGGTAGTACTATAACTATACACACAGAAACCAAGCACCCCCCCCCCCCCAACTTTGGGGGACACAGAAAATTTCACTATATGCCCCCCCCCCCCCCAACTATATGCTTGCCATTTTTAGTGGTGGGTAATTACATGTTTAAAATTGATATCCATCAGCCATGAATTCATTAAAAAAATTTAACATTTAAAAATCATCTGATTTCAAGTTACATGTTTTTACTTTCAGTAAAATGATAAAATTCATTAACTTTCATTTTAAACTTTTATTATTGACTTTTTCAATCCAGTTAATTCAGTTGAAAAAAAAACTAAAGATACAAGTTGCACATGTTCCAGGAATTACATGAATTCTTTAAACACAACACAATGGTGTAGGAAATAAGGTGTCTTAAGTCTGAATGTGTGCTGTTTTAAAACAATTTTATCTTTATTCTTACCTTATAGACAGCCTTTTGGAAGTCTGGAGTCTGTTTCATTATCTCCATAACCACACCTTCCTCAAAACTGTCTTGGTTAAGTGTCTCTTTCTTGAGAGGAACCCCATTTAGGAGAACTTGAGGCAGTGAGGTGAGGCCAATGAGGGAGAAGTACTCTGCAGAACTCTGTTATCATGAAAGAAATGACACATTGAATAATAAACCTTAGTGGACTGATTGGTTGACTACTTGGTTTTAAAACAAGATTTGGGCTTATTTTATCTTTATCATGTATTATATGTATTAGGACAATAAAACATTAATTCATGGTGTCTCAGGCTTAGAGTTATTTCTGATTCTCTAACAATTAAATATGTTGAAGCTCATTTCTTCTATTTGCATCATACGTTTAGTCATTTTTGTTCATAAATAAAAAAGTGTACTAAAAAGATAATAAGAATTAAAATCCTGAGTTAAAATGATTATCATCAACGACAGAAGCTCTTAAAACACCTCTTACTGCCTTTAAAAGTTAAAAAATCTCATGTGACTTGTCAAAAATGTAAACAAGCTGAATGCAACTGATAAAAGTAACTCACTGCCTGTGTCCTCCTCTTCTCTGTCTCTCAACACAGATACTGTCAATAGATAGTTCTCATTAATGAAAGCGATAGACAACATGATAGTAGCTTTTGCAGTAAGCCTTTCAGTGCTTCTCACTTCTTGCATAAACAATTCATAGAAAACAACAGTTTCTAATGCACTTGCTTGCATTCCTTTCTCCCATTATCACTTTCAGGTAATGGGCTAAGAATGCAAAAGTAGTGAGCAGTCAATTTCCTACAGTTTCTCTGTGCACAGCGATATGTGCTACCTAATATTTGTTTGTGTCTATGTCATAATTTTGACTGTCACAATATGTTGATGTCATACTGACTATCTAGGTATAAGGTGTGAGCATATACAGCACTCTACTTACTATTCTACCATCATCATAATCTGAGTCTGAAGAAAACACCATGTTGACATCCTCATCTTGATACTGTGACCTGAATTCTGCAACCACTTGGTCTGCTGTCAAATCTCCAGCCTGGACCTTATCAAACACCTGACAACAGATAATATAGGAACATCTTCACTACCCTTTTGAACACCGAGGGCTATCAGTTCATGCTCATATAGTCCAACAAATGATTTGTAAAGGAAAGAAAAACTCATACTGATGACAATGTATAATTACATTGATACTATCACGTATAGAGTTATAAAATAGAGATTTCTGTTGTCAATATCAAGAACCATGCCAGGTTCCACATTTCTATGTTGCTAAGCACATGAACAATATGTAGTGCCTCAATATGAGAACCAGACAACTCTGGTGTTTTTAGCCTCCAAATTCTAAAAATACCAATTTAGCTAATAAATAGTCCGAGAACATCAGGTTTTTTTATGATGAGATTGTATTTATTATAACATAAGATTACAACAATAACTAAGATATATTTTGATTTAGCTGATTCGAGATTTTATAACAAAACTTCTAATTTTTATGAGGCACCTCCCTTTCGAGATATTAAATCTGTCGGTCATATACCAGCAGTGCAAATCTATCACCTTATGTTGGTTAATTTCGCATGTGAACACGGGTTTTCTGATATGAATTATCTGAAATAAACCTTCCTACATTTTCAAATGCATTTTGTAGTAACATTGACATTAGCCAAGAAGAGTGTGTTCCTTATCAAAAATAGGGGAGGGGCGGAAATTCATTTGAGGCCACATATAACACTATAAATACTTAGGGAATCCCCTTATAATAAAAGCAAAATAAATGTTATTCAAAGGAAAGTCTGATGGATTTACCTTTAAATACATACAATCAACAGAACATTTCCAATATACTTTCTCAAAACGACACCAGAAAGCAAATTAAATCAAATCAATCAGATGGTAACACCGGTAGGCTTTGTCAATTTCATCAATTTATTTCAAAGAGCTCTGTAATGTCCACTGAATTGAAATGCCAAATGCAACTACATAAAATTGAGCTACATTTTCAGTATGCTACCACAATATGCATAAAAATCAACACATCTCTGTCAGTATCAAGATCTGATTGATCAAGTATCTAGTGACACAAATGTAAACGTAAGTTTTACCCCAGTAACATGCTATATGTTGCAGTGACTATCCCTTAGATTGCCCCTTATCTTCATCACTTGTACAGCTACCAGAGCACTTGAAAAGAATTCAATCAAGGTATGAAAAAGCTTAGTTCCTAGAACTAGCAGTTTTATAAGTATCAGTCACTTACATCAGTAAGAAAAGAAAGAGCAGCAGACACAGTGTTGGCTGTTTTCACAAAGTTGAAAGCCCTGTAGAGGGCGACACCTGCATCCTGTTCTCCATCCACTTCCTTCTCATTGTTCACTACAAACAGTAAGCCTAGTCTGGAAACAGATCAGCATGTTAACAGATGTCACTGGATTGTGTGCCTGTGCTTGTGCATGTGTGTGTGTGTGTGTGACAGAAGCTATTTAAAACAAACCACCAACCTTCAGTATTAGTAAGCCATTTTCTAATAATTACAAAAGGGTTGAACTCCTAAGCCAAAAAATATTAATGTTGAGAAGGTTCAACTTGGTACTTCAAACACACCGTACAAAATGTTAAGTGTAAAAAGTAACTACACTCCCTTGCTTTCTTTGTCCCAAACATACCCACCAAGGCCTAGGTGTTGAGCTAAAAGTTGCTCACAATTTCCGTGTGCTTTAAAGGGCTTGCTAAATGACCACTAAACTATAAGACATCTCAGCCACAAAGTTTGATTTGATTGGCTAACAGCACATCTATCGAAAGCACTGATGTGTGAAAGTAATAGCACAGTAGGGATCAAAGTAGAGGTCAGATGACTAAAAGAGTACAATGTGACATTAAATGTTTTACCTGATTGGGGCATTGTGCACATAGAATGATTCTGCCATCTTCAGCAAATCTCTGGCATCTGGCTGGGAAGGATCCACCATAAATACCTTGTGAAGACATATCAGAAGTTAATAAATGTTTTTGTCATTAATACATGCAATACTAGTAGGTAAAAGCTATCAAATATGCATTCACTTTATAAACATATTCGTTACTATTGTTCCATTTAAATAAACTGGCACATTGCACTAAACATGGAAAAAGTTTATGAACAGTGGATTATCTGCCCCTCAAACCATGACTATTTTACACAAGTTCTCATTCTATATACCATGCACACTTCATTTCACATTGCAATTAATACATTATGATTCAACAACAATATCTAAATAAGTCACAAAAAAGGTAAGAAAGATGGAAAAAAGATACTGCCAGTTATCTAAAACAAAATTTGGGACATTTTCAAGTCAAAAATATTCCAAAGCCTAATAGGTCCAATAAAATAAGTAGTCCAATAATTTACATAAAACAAGGCAGCAAAGGTGCCAAATGTACAAACACCAAGCAGTGCGGAAATAATTGATGCAAGTGTTTATTATAGTTTTAAGTGCATTTTAAGCATAATCATCACCAATATTTGTGCCACAATTTGATACATCTTTCAGTCCCTAGAATCATTCATGTAAGTTGAAGAATAATAAGTAACACAATTTTCATTTAATATTGTTTATGGCAGCACTGCACAAAATAAGCTTTTTGTTAATTCTATGTATTATTACATAATGATAAACAGAAAATGAACACCAATCTAAAGAGTATCAGGACAATGCACCCCTGTAATGAATACTACTATACAAATGAACAATGTGAAACTGAGAAAAATTAAAGCACCTGCCTTTAATCAAAATGTATCTCCAGGCAGAGGTGGGTAAACAGATAATCTCACTTATCCAGGTATCCCTTTCATGAACTGACTCTTGTTATTGTTTTACCCCTCCCTCCCCCTGGTACCCCTCCCTCCCCCTGGTACCCCTCTCTCCCCCTGGTACCCCTCCCTCCCCCAATAATTAAGGTGCATCACAGGGTGGGGTAAACAGATAATCTCACTCATACAGGTGTCCTTTTGATGAACTTACTGTCGGTTTAAATTGTTTCCCCACTACCCCTTGGAAAATTATTTTCTTTTTTTTCAGTTTCATTATTATTATTTACTTGACCTGTTATTCAAAAACTCACTTAGATCAAATGATGTAAAACTAATAAAATGGTGCTATTTGTTTACTTAAAAATGATATGCAATGGCAAATTTACAAAACTTGCATCTTTTCAATTTTATAATTTTAAGCAATAGCAACTGTATGTTTTGGCCAAAAAAGAAGATACTGTTTCATTCTTACCAAAGGTTAATGAATCTACTGGGACATTCGAAGATAGTCCAAGTGGTCATATGGCAAGAACAGATTCCAGAAAAATTGTGATAATCAGTGTTTTGGTGGTAAAATGGAATTTATTATATATTCTCCGAGTTGTTTACAATGTATTCATTGTGAAATGATCTCATACAAACAGTTGTTATCCCTTTCAGATAAACTCTCATGGCTGTTTATGCTGGTAAGTGAGCTTCCTGAATCATGTAATAATTAGCCAATACCTTTGTTTTTATTATACTTTTTGTCTCCTTTCTTATTATCAGTAAAATATTCAAGAAATGTATAAATGCCTCAAATAGATAAATGAAAAGCAGCTATATTCTTTCCTGGGAAGAATGGGGGCTGGAAATATGGTCTGGCAAATGTGGTTTGAACAAATGTCAGACAGCATAAGCAAAGATAACAGATACGGAGATGACAAAGACACATAATCTGAATACAAATAGTTTGTATATATTAAACAAGTAAAAGTTGTTTTAATTTCACATAGGCATAAAGATAAACTGAAATGAAGATTATTTAGGTCACCATTCCTATTTATTTTCTGTACAACATATGAAATAATGTTTCATATTAAATGCTTTTCTAGTTGTTAAAACCATAAAAATTGTACTGAAGAGATTATATCAAAATTTGAAGAAAACATTACTAAAGAAATGGTATTTAAGAAAACACTGACCATTGTAAAAAAGTTTTTGGCGACATGTCTTAGCATTCCAGGGAAGGTGGGTCTGAACATGTCCTGAACACTGCTGGGCCACTGCTGGTATCTTCTGTCCTTCTCAAGATCATTGATATACTGAAATACAGGTATTATCTGAGTCTATCTAGGTGAATAAATAATCTATTCATTTTAATGACTTTGTTCTTTTACAAAATTATATTTTAGGTCAAAACAGGAGTCACCCAACATAAAGCTCTATCTCTATATGCACAACCTTATGTCAACCTTATAACAAATCCAATCATTCCAGTTAGAGAGTAACCCATCTGGAATTATTCATACAATTTGTTCCTGTCTGCCCAGATATTATTAGCTTCTCCACCCAGGCCTTAAAAATGGATTACGTGTTTACTAACACTACCCAAAGTTCTTTTAGCACTAACACCATATTAACCAAATAACCAGTGAATCAACCAGCACACCAACGCGATTCCAAGCACTAATATTCATCCGCTCTGGTAGTGGAGGTTAATTTGCAGTTTATGTGGTTAATATAGGTGTTAGTGCTGAAAGATCTGCAGGTAGTGTTAGTAAACTCCTAATCCATTAATAAGGCCTGTCATCTCTTCGCCCCTTCCCTGACTGTCCATATATCATTTCTTTCATCTGTCTACCAACTACTTATGTTTATTTATCCATAAATTATTTGTGTTTGATTTTTTGCCCCTTCAACTTTCTGGGTAAAAACTTTCTCTGGCTTACCTGTATGGGCCCATTCCGGATATCTACAGCATAACTGGTAACTGTTTCTTTCAAGTCAAGCTTAAGGAGGCTACTTAGGCTTTCACCCTAATACATCAAACAGCATATAAGTATTACAGGATATAGGATAGCAAGCAAAACACTATTTGAACACCTAAAGAAAAACTGGTTTGACCCATTTTGCTGCACCTCCTCTCAGCAGGCTACCTGATTATGATCAACACATGCATGATGTCAACTGAAGCTGGTCTCCCAGCTGTCAGTAAGGCAAATTCTGGTCAACACTTGTGTAGAGAGATAGGTAGTGCCAAGTAACTTTGGCCACAGAGTTATTTTATATTTACAAGAAACTGAAATTTAATAAAACCACAGCTTTTTGCCAAAAATAAACTCAGATTCAAATATTTAGCACATATCATTCTTAATTCAAATCAACTTAACCATTATCTGCCTACTTTGGCAACTTTTTAAGACAGGCTTGACTACCATGTTCCATTTTTCTTTTTGGTATAGAATCGAAGCACAAACTACTTACCTTAATACCCATACTGTATAAGCCTTCCATAATCTTGGCATCAGCTCGTAATGTATCCAGCAAAGTGAACACATCACTGATATCAAGGTCATATTGTAGGCCATTGAAGAATAGAGCCGATTCCCCAGGGAGAATGTTCAAATACTGCTCAAATACTGCAATTAATTAAGAATGGACTGGCAAGAATGCAGCACTAATCATATGGCATATTTCATATTATTATTTAATTACATAATGGTAACATAAGGAGATATACCTTAAAAACTTGAGTGCGCTACACTTACATTTACACAGCATACTTTTTTAGCCCCTTTGCCTTTAACAGAAATGTGTCTCATATTCTTGATACATGTTTAATTACCAAACATATCCCAATTTATAAAATGACCACTTCAATGATTCCCCTTCCATGGCTGATACACCCGTAAAAAACAGAGCTGGTATTATTAAGTCCCAGGCTCATTGTGTGAGACAAATCTTAGATCTTGCATATAAATGCAATCTTTCATTGGTTGTAGGTTCTAATTAGTTTTGACACTTGTCTAAATCTTTCTTTGAGAAAACCTACTTAGTGTTATACGTAACAATTACATAATGAAATAATGATATAAAATGAATATAGCTGTTGAAATTAGCTTTTTATTGTAAATCTTGGTTGGTTAAGAAGAAAGTCATGTTCCTGCCACCTGATCTTAATCCTTAAAGACTTAAACTGGATTACCATCCATGAAAGAGTATTTTTTAAATAATTTACAATGATATATATCATTAATGAAAGAGTATATAGTTTTTAAAAAATTTACAATGATATATACCATTTATGAAAGAGTAGATTTTAGTACAATTACAATAATATACACCATTTATAAAAAAGTAGTTTTTAGAAAAATTACAATGATATCTGAGTCTGGAAATGTACTCCTACGTTCCATATATCTATCAGACATACATGAGTGAATATCTATAATATGACACCATTTTGCAGATAATGGACCCACCATTTGGTTTTACTTTACCTCCCTACGCATGTCATCTTTGACACTGACTTTAGCCAGAGACCTAGATAGAACAATCATCTTCTTTTTTTTTACAATTCACTAGACTTCATACCAGGACCCCGTAACCCGAAAGCATCACGTATTGCCAATAGCAATATCACATAGAGGCTACAGTGTATTATATGGGGCGAGCATGGGCAAGTTATGGAATCAAGACGCTTGCCCTTGGTTGCAATGCGTGATACTTTCGAGTTAAGGGCCCAATTATGTAATATATTAATCAATACTTTTATGTTGTGCTTACAAAACCATGTTCACAACACTTCTGTATTCTGACAACAATATACTCATATACATAATACTCTCTATTAGAAAATGACAGGACTGTCACAAATTTACAACTCTATATCTTTGTACAGTTGTTGTTAAGATATTAACTGACATTTAACCTGCTTCAAAGAAAGAATCCAATGACGTGAAATCTAAACCAAACAGACGTACAATTTCAAGCAGTGCACATTTGCTGAAACTAATTCTTGTTTTAGTGCTATTTGTTACCAAGACTACACAGAAATCTGTGGTAGGCATAGAGTAGTAAGTCAAAGCAATATTGCAAAGAAAATCTTTGATAAAATAAATGGAAATTACATGTTGACATTTGTCAATCAACCCTTTTTTTCCTGCAAAAGAGTGTTGTTTGGTTAAGGGCAGCCCTGTCGGACAACAGCACCACTGTGTCATGGGCCAACTTTCTTATATGGAGAAATGATCTTGAGCATCAGAATGACTGGCAGGATGGGATTAAGATACAAAGTCACCATGTGTGAACATAATATACGTTCTGAAGAAATACCCTTAGAAAAAAAAAACAGTGATTTACTGTTTTGCATGACAGGCATGTGTGTTTGTCACCCTGACTGGATAATGAACCTATTCAATACACCTAAAAACCATAGAAAATGATCTAAGGCTACCAAACCAGTTTATCACAATGCTTAAAAAACCAGTTAAGTAATTTTAGAGGGATTTCTAAGGAAAAAGAAAAGTTATTTGACAAACCATTTGGAACTGTTTTTATTTTATATATATTAGTTAAGAGATATATCTCAACTGAACTGCACCCAGTTGCTATTATTACTAAAATCATTATTCTGATCACTTATTAATCATAAATGGAAAGTTTCATGTAGTTTAACTACTCATCTAAATTATATTTTATATAATTATAGTTTAGTGCTAGGTATTGTAGCCTACTGTCATATCCTAATATATGTGTATATTTTTGCCAGCATATGCTGGCACATAATATTACTATCATTATATATATATATATATATATGTGTGTGTTTATATATATATATATATAATGATTACACACAGGAGTTAATTGCAAGCTGTATAATGTTGTATTACTTTTTTTATAACTCCATATTTCTAAACCCACTGTCTGATTGCATTGCCCCACCCTCTAGCCACAAAACTCACTCTAAATTATGAAAATTCATCCACCAATCTAATAATGACATCTATATGAAAAACTTTTGTACATACCCTGTAACTGCCAAACTTTCAGAGGGGATAGCTCATTGCTACTCATCATAAGATGTTTCTTGAATTCTTTCAATTTCTCCTTCAAATCAGGATGCTTCATTCTGAATACAAAAAAATAACAAAATATTATACTGAAATGATCTAAAATACAACATTTTTCAACAGTAGCCTCTTTTGCACAGTATTCTTTTTATAATGAAAAATAATAAGCTCAACAGTTTTGAATTACTCAGTTATATTATACTAAGATAATAAAAATTGATTCTAATACTGGATGAAATGCAGAACAGAGATCATGACATTTGACATTATCACAATTCAGGTCTTCAGGTGAACTGATTTTGAGTTGACATCTTTGCCATATGATGATTCTGTGCAGGAAGACACATACTGCTGTGCCAGATGACTCACCCATCTACAGAACTCCTCCCATACTTTTCACACAAAAAAACATTATGATCCTCCACAAACGGGACTGCAGGGTTTTGATGAAGAATGAAAGAGGAATGATGAGCCAAATGAACATCCCACCCTCACCAAGCACAGTGGCCTACACTACCAACTAAAGCATCTATGGATTCAGGCCCTACGGCACATCCTACAAACTGGCAATCATTACTGTTTACCTTTACACATAAATATATTGAGAATTTTAAAGGGGCATACAAACCGAAGGAAGGTGCTATCATAATTGTTCAGATGACATAAGAGTGGTGTCTAAAATTATCTTATATAATCATCAGCATTAGATGTATTTATTATTCATTTAAACAAAATTTTAACTTCCTTTTTTGTCCCCTCTTTGCATTCAGTTTTACACTCTGCTGTCTTTGAAAACTACTAATACTATCGGGGCTTCCCAACCAGTGTGGCAATTGCATCATTTGACGTTGCCACAGTGCAAGGTTTCCAAACATTAAACTTCTTATGTATCTCTGCTGACATGGTATTACCCTCTCTATTATAATCCTACTTTTATTTGTGCAACTTTTGTGTTGTACTTCCTTCTGCTTTTTATCCCTTTTATGTGCTAAAATTTTTTTTCTTTGCATCGTCCACTGCACTGACTTGTTAAATCAGGGCAGTCATGTGGTAGGCCTGCTCACTCAGCCTTTACTGGCAGCAAGTATGCTGAGCAATTTTTCCACACTTCTTCCTGTCCATTCATTCATATGCTAGTATCTAAGTCACGTGACACGTGGGTATGTTACAATCGCGGGATGTAAATGCAATTTTTAGTTCTTTATTTCTACGCACTGGGCTTTTGTTAGAGGTTAAATTTGAAATAGATCTTGTTTATTTGCCGTGTTTGATGCTGTAAAAATGCTGTTTTTGTGAATAATTTTCAACTAAAAATGCTTTGTATACCCGTTTTATATCCCTGAGTTTCACGTTTAAGAAAATCTATAGTTTTCAGAAAAATAAAGCACTATGTGACTGTCACTTTTACCGTAGAGATGAGAACACAATGCCCTGAACATCCTTTCCTTCATCATCTTCCAAGTCATCTTCCTCATCTTCACCAGCTGTAATTACAAACAAACACATCAGAAGAGGACTTAACCATAAGTTCGCTTAAAGCTTCAAGTCATCTGCTAGTAAGCAGATAAAACTTTTTACAGAGATTCAAAACAACTAAAACATATATGTATGCATGAAACAGATAGAATGCAATTTCTTTGTGTTCGCAAAGGAACAAATAATAACATAATGTTGCAAATTTTACTAATTCACCTATTCACAAAACATCATTTAATGTCATTTTAAATTCTATTTACATGCACACATTCTAAGGTCCTTCCTGCTCAATTACATTCTCTTTACATGTGATATTACTGTTTACTATAGAAATTCATATTTACTTGATAATGAGAAACAAAAATCAAAGCAATGAATATACTCAGTAGAAATATTAGTAGTATCAATCACTCAGTTTCTTTAACAGTTCATTTGATCTACATCTAAAACTAGATCTTGTCAATGGGTAGCCACCGCAAATCTTCTCACTTCCTCATATTCTTAAGAGTAGCTCACCCTCATGAACCCATGACATCTATGATAGTGCCTGGGTTTTATATGTAAAATTATTGCAAATAAACTTGATGACAACAGAATACAAGGCAACAAAGCTGTCAAATGTACAGACAAAAAGCAGAAAATACACACGCAGAAAATATGTAATTTTGTCAATGTTGATGCAATAATAAATAATTATGGAATAACAGCACAGCCAATCAACACTGAATTTAAATCATGCACAACAGGTAAATATGGTCGATAAGATAACAGTTTCAGGACCATGAGAGTTCAAATTCACATAATGAAAATCCCAATATGTGAAAAATGATGACAGGGCATTAAATACTTCTACATAATATTTGAAGACAAACACCAATACTATTACTTATGTAGAAATGCAGAAAATGTACAGAGCTTCAGGTGGATAGGAGTTAAAATCACATCTTGAAAATGCCAGTGTTTGAATAATAATAATAAATTAAAAAAGAAAAAAAAAATTCCAATAAAGCTGCTGTTCAAACTTTGTGAAACAGAAAGCAATCACGCCGATTTTCCAACACAAGCTGCGCTTCTGGCCTAAGAATCTATTTAGTAAGTTTGACTTGTAAATCGTATGGGAAAAAAAAATGCATGCCACTTCCAGTGTTGAGCTCTATCTAATGCAAAAAAAAAGAGGTCTCTAGCATTAACAGTTCCAGAATTAGAGAGAGTTTTCAGTTTCGGCATCTAATGGCAGCTGCTTCCGTGAACATGCACCGATTGACCCCAAACTCAAGGAGAAAGAGGACCCATGGAGAAAGAGGACCCAAGGAGAAAGAGGACCCTAATGATAACACCTGCCAATAATATTATAGGTGAGGTTTGTGTTGTTTCTGAATATCGACACAAAAAAATTTTTTTTTTTTGTAAAAAATTCCTATTTTTAGAAAATTTTGGCCCGTTTCACCTTGAAATAAAGGTCAAATCGAAGGGCATATTTGAAATCTCCACATATAACTTTTGGCCAGCCATCTGTAGAAAATTTTCCTATAATTCCTTCAGTTTAGGAGATATTGAGCATTTAATTTTGCAAACTTTGGACAAGGGTGCACTGTAATGAGTACCACACCTAGACCCCAGCACTGATGAAGCCCAAATTTTATGCGGATCGAGTTGAGATTAAAAGTGACCTAAATCCAAGGCCCTTGTAGTCTAGGAGGAGAAGCAGTGTTCCAGAAAAACAGCCGGACAGCCGGACAAATCTGGCACAAATTGAAAATGTCCGACTTGTGATGTCAACATATCAGTCACAATGTCTGTATTATCAAAAAGCAGAGCTTTTAAAATACTAAGTCCTGGCCCACTTGTCAGTGCTTTTTGCCACTGCATGACAAGCCCCAGCACAAAAAAGTAGGTCATGAATTCATACTTTTAAAATAACTTTTGCCCTAATGAGCATTTTTTAGCCTACCTGCGAAATTCTGGGGTTTCATGCATTGTTTGTACAACTTTTTATTAACTTAAAGCAAATGCATAGTCTACTGTAACTTACTTTATTGTTTTGATCCCAAATAGAATATCCATGCTTGGACTCTTAATCGGATTCTCCCAAATAACTCAAAGTATAGTAAAAAAAAAAAAAAAAAAATTACACCGATATGTATTCCCCACCACTACACTTTTGGCCTACCACTGCTGAACCGATTAATACAAGCCACCGAGTTGAGGGGTGAACACATGTCGACAGTGCAGATACAGTGGCGAAGATCTCTGTCTTCCTACCTGTAGTTGACCAAGGCAGATATTGTTTTGATTCCTGCTCAGCTGCCATAAAGTACAGTGATTAAAACGGTGTAAACTTATTTTTTTTAAAGCGACTGGTGGATTTTAAAAATAAATGTGAGATGATATAAATAGCTTTTTTTTTCAATCCAACATGCATATTGGATCATTGTGTTCATGTGTATTTATCATTTGATATTTTCAATTGGTAATTTATGTGATAAAAGTTTAATTTAAAATAAATTTTAAATATTTACATAGTGATTAAAATTTAAGGTTAGTTATTATTAATAATAAATATGATATAATTAAAGCAACATCTGAGCACCATTACATGGCTTTCTCTTGCATTTTTTAAAATAAATAAGGATTTTAAAAACATAAACAATTGTAGATAATCATTTTGCATTTTCTTACTACCAGTATTTTGCGTGTACACATGGAAGAGTTTAATGTATGTATTACATAAATATCCAGTACAATTATTCACTTTTAGAAAATTTTTCAGGCAGTACAATTATTCTACCAAAATATTATTATGAAACTGAGTTTTCAGAAGATATTTTCAATTTGATTGATATTTTTCTGAATTCCAAAATTTTATATGTACAATGTAATTCTAAATCCAGAAAGATTTGACAATTAAAACAAGGTCTTGTTATAACTAGTATGGATGTAATAGAGGTAAATGTCCAGTCTGCTGCTTTTTTTTTTTTTTTTTTTTTTTGACCAGTAAATTTTTAGTCAGACCAGTAGATTTTAAGAAATTGGTGATTCGAATGGCCAGAAAACTGAAAAGTTTAAGTCACAGACTGTAACATGCTGAAAAATAAGGCCACTATTTCTCAGTGTGCCTGATGAAGGCACTATTTTGTGCTGCTGTTGTTATTGGACTTGTCTTTATAATTAAAACATGAAAATTGATATGCTTTTCAAATGTCTGACATGAACATTAGTTGAAATTGCAAGACATAGAACAAAAGACTCGGCCGTGCTGTATGCGACATACAAGCACGTCATGTACGAGTGCGTTCCATGGTCTGTTGCATTACTAGTGTGGAAACCAATCAGAGGCCGTAGTTTAAGCCAGATACAACGCTCGTCGCCGAGCTGTACGTGAAAGTTACTTGTGTATTGTCTCGCCTGCGGCTTGCCAATACACTCGTAATATTTCACGTAAAGCTCGGCGACTCGTATTGTATCTATCACGTAATCGGTATCTAATATGTGATTGTTGAAAACCAGTTTGTCACACAAGTGCCGTAGGTTATTTTACGCTTTACTAGTAATAAACAATGCCCTGCAATATATACGATGCTACAACTTTTATTTTTCCTACATTGATATCAAGACAAAAGAGAGAAACTAATCTTTTACTTTATATTCAGGCCTAATTCAGTCAATGTCTTTTTTTATTTTCTCCCCAATGTCATCGTTAATGTCAAACTTTATTTTAGTTTGACTGACCTGTCCGTAGACATCGCAATTAAAATACCATGCACTATCTATATGTTTATGTTGGCTGAGACTCTGTATAGGTTTTATATTCAAGTACGTAATGTTGTCAGCCACATGTACCCTTTTGACGGCCAGTTTGATTGCTTTTCTTTTTTTCATAATTTTTGTTTTCACTTTGGCATTTCTCGCCTTAATAATTATTGGTCTTGGTCTGCCCGCTTTTCCTGGGATTCTATATGTGGTGATGATTTCGCTCTCCTGCAGTTCGACATATGCGGCCCCTCTCAGTGTTTTTATCACTTTTTCTTTCACTTTCTCATGAGATTTACTCACTCCATAAACTTTAACATTGTTTTCTGGAGTGTTGTTCATTCCTATTTGAACAACAGCTTGTTTCCACGGCCATTTGTTTATTGTCTTTTACTCTCTTCCCAAGTTCCCTCGGCTCCCTTTCCCTCTCGGCCAGTTTTTCCCCAGCGCTTGATTGTCCATATTTACATCGTCCATTCTGTCTTTCATCTCGGTTATCATGCTGGTATGCCTTTCCTCTTTTTCCATAACACGCTCATTGAACTCTTTTTTTATTTCGTTCATAAAGTCAAGCAGTGATTGCTGGACTATCTGCCTGAGATGGTCAGTTTTAACAGTGTTTCAATTCATTTTTTATCTCTTCTAATTCATTCTGTATCTCATTTTGTAGACTGAACGAATTCCCCTCTTCTCTGGTGCTTGATAATTGACTGTGAGATCTCTTGACACTTGGCAGCTAACAAGGTCTGTCTTTATCCTTTGCATTCAGCCTGGCTGAATTAAAGTATTGGCGATGTTATCCACTGTCTATACAATAGGTACTGTGACACTACCATTGTGTACCGTAGGCCTATACGAGTCTTCATCGTAAGTTTTACTGCATTTTCCCTGCCTATCCATACATTAAATTTGCTTGTTACAAGTCTACATTTTGGTTCGATCCTTCTAGAAAAGCTTTTAAGAAAATGGCCTGATCATGCTGATTTTCGACCTAGACCTGCCCATTATGAATATTCATCAGTTCTGTAAGTTTCAAGTCAAAAGGTAAAATGGCTTTCCACTTATCGTTTTATCGATGAAAGTGCACAGCGACGATGAAGGTGACGATAGACACAGGTGATGGCTATATATACAGACACATCTGTGTCTGTACACATCTGTGTCTGTACATAAAAACAGCATAACTTTTGAGAAAATGCCGATTTTCAGAATTGACCTATGTATTATGAATATTTATCAGTTCTGTAAGTTTCAAGCAAAAAGGTAAAATAGTTTTCCACTTATTGGTGAGAGTGCACGGTTACAACAGACGCAGGTGATGGCTATATGTATAGACACATCTGTGTCTGTACATAAAAAAGTATCCATGAAAAAATGCTTAATGCAGTTCCCACACATACACTGGGGCATCTTCTTGATGATACTGGTAGGTCTATCAATACCAAAAGTTTGAACTTCCTCACCCTAATGATCTAGGAGGAGCTAGCTGAAGTTACAATGTAGAAATTTTGTCATTAAAGTAATTCTTCTCCAATATCTTCAATTCATTAATGTCCTGTTTGTCAATGAACGCGGATATAAATTGTTGCTTTAATCTGTACCCCAGCTGAGCAGTCCCCCTCCTCCCTTGGTGCAGACATTGTCAACATCTGCAACCTCCCTCCCTGAAGGTGACTTGACAGAAATATAAGGTGTCACATGCATGTTTGTTTGACTCCTAACCTTGCATTTTTGTATCGTCCTTTGCTTTGTATTCTGTGCTCTTTATTGCCAACTCCACACCATACCCAGCCAGTCTCACCTTCTCTTCAGATGGTTCCTAAAATTACACACTAATATCCTCAATGAGAAGTAAATAACTATTTGATTGTAATTTTCAGACATGCTCACAAAATTATACATGGATTCAAAATAACTGATGAAAATGAACTTCATAGGAATCTGCATTTGAAAAATGTGTCCAAAACATAATTTGCTGCATAAAATTCTCAAGTTGACAACCAATGCACAATTTTAATATTAAAACCAGAGGATCAGAGAGGCGATACCACCTCTGGGTATTGTACCACCATCTGGAGTAAGCACATTTGTATGGAAAACAAACAAAAAAAAAGGTGGCACCAACTCCAGTGTTGTGCTTGACAAGTTCTATAAAATGCAGTAAACAGTTTTTTGTTGAAAATCACTATTTATAACTAAATCATGGGGAGAAGTAAAAGGTAAAATCCAAATTTGTGAAGTGCGATTAATGGTGATAAGTAGGTCAACGGTCAAATTCAAGGTCACAGGAAGACTCAATATACAAGTTCCTGTTCAAGTTCAATAGTAACTATGGGCCAGTTTTGAAGATATAAGGGACAAAAAAATTGGCAAAGTTCAGTTCATGGTGAAAAGAAGGTCAAGGATCAATTTTAAAGTCACTGTTAGATTGCAAGATACAGCTTCCTATTCAATTTCAATAGTAACCATAAGCCTTATCTCTGTTTTAGAGATGTAAGGGACTAAAATGTTGCAAAGTTTATTTCATGATGAAAGGTCAGAGGCCAATTTCAAGGTCACAGTAAGGCTGCCAGTATATGATTTCCTATTTAAGTTCAATAGTAATTATGGGCATATCTCTGCCAGTTTTGGAGATATAAAGGACTTATTTTGGGGTTACAGCAATTTGCCATAAAATCCTTACAGAAGAAATTAATTGAAATAACTAAAATATTGTTTTGGCCAAATTCATGAAATGGGAGGTGCTCAGAAATTCCAGATGTTCAAATTTCATGAAATTCTGTCATTTTTGACAGTAGGTTGTCTGTCCCTGGCAAAGCCTTCTGTTATCTTTTCCTGGTGTTCTTTTATGGCATATTACCGTATTTCATATTTTATTTTCACCCCATTGTACTTTTAGATATAGCACAACTCGTAAACAGTATGGAAAAGAAAAAAATAACAGACACCACCTCCAGTGTTGTGCTTGACAAACTCTATAAGTTACAAAAACAAGAGAGTTTTCAGTTTTGGCTTCTGATGGCCGATTCTCCCAAAAAAATGCACAGATTGACCCCAAACTCAAGAAGATGAACGATGACCCTAAGGGTAATACCTGCCCATAATATTATAGGTTAGGTCTGTGTAGTTTCTGAATATTGGCGCAAATAATTTTTTTCGTAAAAAAATAAATTCCCATTTTTAGAAAATTTTGGCCCGTTTGACCTTTAATTAAAGGTCAAAAGTTAAATCCAAGGGCATATCTGAAATCTCCAGAAATGACTTATGGTCAGCCATCTACATATATTTTTCTCATAATTCCTTTGGTTTGAGAGATATTTAGCATTTAATTTTGCAAATTTTGGACAAGGGTGCATTGCAATGACCTCCACCCCTAACCTGTGCACTGACAAAGTCCAAAATTTAAGTGGAATGAGTTGAGATTATATATGACTCAAGTCCAAGAGATGGTTATGCAGGCTCTTGCAGTCTTGGAGGAGAAGCGGTAGTGATGACATGGTGGCGGAGCCAGTGGATACAGTGGATGCAGCAGACGAGATGGGTTGGAACTAAAACCATGTGTACTGCCAGTGCCTATACTGGTGGTACAATAATTTACTTTCACCCTTTTACATTAAGAAGTAACCTAAGCTTCAGAGTTCTTTTAAATGTTTCCAACAATAAAGGTATGCGAAAGAAACATGTTATACTTTTTTTATTAAATCAAAATAGCCAGTAGACTCGTACACAGCTTTCTAGTGTATGGACAGGTATGTACGTCTTCATAATATTACATGTATATATGCCAGCTGTGGCGATATCACTTTATTTACTATCATGTGTACATGTACCAGTAGTAGCAATTCATTATGATTTTTGTGTCTTGTTTAAAGGATGTCTTAAGAGATTTTTTAAATAATAAAATGAAAAGATTCCCTGCGTTGCTTGACTCATACTGTACCTACTATGTATACAGGTAAAACTGACACGCAGATTGTTCATCGGTTAACTAATTAAATCATTTGGTACCTGATAAGGCATCAAGTGTTAATTGTTCAATTGTTTGGTAAGAGGGGCGGCCACAACTATGGTCTTTCCTCTGTAATTAAAACCTTCTAATTTTGTGTGTTAAATAGCTGAGACAGGAATTTTTGACTCCTTCCCAGATTATAATAACACTGTTTACTGTGTCTTACACTAGTATGTGTACAAAATTTAAGACAGGTAAAAAATGTCAGACTTTTGGTCTGACAAGCGTGAAAATTCTGTCAAACTGAAACAAAACCGTCAGACCAAAACAAAATTATAGTAATATTATTATTTGATTTATTAAAATGTTTTAATGCATATTTTTATTGTTTTCAATCAAATAAAATCATTCAAATAAAGTGTTTTCCATTTCAGTTTCTTTTTATAACTTCATGTTTAAAGTCTTTTCTTTCTTTTTATTCTTCAATTTATTCTTCACATATTTAGGTGTTTTTTTTTCACGCATTGTTTTCCCCTGAGTTCTATTTGTCGAGTCTTCGCTCGATCAGTTGATTAACTAAACTTTAATGGTTTTTATTTAAACACCGTTGATCTTCTCATATTATAGGTTTTCTTCCAGCCTTCGAAATGTTCGGCACAAACACGGTCTCCTGCTCTTGATCCAAACCTGCAAAATTTTCCTTTCTTTCTACCGATGTTGTCTACCCATATTTTTCATTTCAACGAGTTTGTTGGGAACTTATAAAAACCATGTGTCGATCTCTCTTACTGTTATTGTAGCAACGGGACACACAGCACGTAAACCCAGGCATGTTTTTCAGCACTGCTGTAAGTGTTTCCACATAGCATAGGACTCACTTTCCCACAATGCAATTTCCAACATGGAAAAGATGAAAAGGGTCAATATGCTGCATTATTTTACACATTGTGAAGCTAAACAGGTGGATGAGGAAATAAAATACCTTATAAGGCTTACCCTCTTTTCAGACATAGTGTCTTGTCTATTTTGTTTTAAAATGGTTCATGCCACAACTTCACAACATCTTATTGTCTACCAATTTGCAAGTACCTTTGAGTGGCACTGTTAATGAGTCGTTTCATTTCCTTGCTATCACACGTGACCTTGCCCTGGACGTCGACAAATGTATCACAATCACGGGGAGGGTTATTATCCTTGGCCACCTGAACACAGAAAATTCAATTAAAAAGTATACAGCAGTAAAGTTTATAAAATATGTATATACCTATACCTGGATCCTAAGAACAAAACCAACATAACCCTTTAACAGGATAAAAATTCTTCAAATGAGATTCCATTTTAAGGCAGTTTTACCACCAAAATGGCATGGATATAATATTTTTCATTTAATACTTTACAAAGCTGAGTTTTAAAGTTAACAATTTACTGCACACACAATTTAGTAATAACTTGACCTTTTCAATAGGGAAAAAATTATCAAGACTTCAGATACATAATTTTGGAATCACCAGCATTTGTGGTAAATAGCATTATGTGTAGAAAAGAATTAAAAGGTGGACTGCTTTTCAGTTCTGTTCCTACCAATGAATCGGAAGATTCAAATTTTAAGCAATACAGTAACTGTAAAACACAGTACCTGAAATTCCCCCCTTTGAAAAGATCAAGCTATAACAGTTATTCAACAACCAAGTTTATGGAAAACAAGTTATAAATTGGCTGAACAACCCTGTTAAAACTCATTGGTAGAACTGTGATGTAGGTTCAGAGAAATCCTTAATGTGGCAGTCTAACATTTTACATTCTGGGGGACTGGAGAACGCTTTAGGTTCTGGAGGGGGGGGGGGGCATACCACACCCAGTAAATCACAAAAATAACTGGATGTTAGTTAATAAGTTTTAGTTTGACTGATAATGGATGTTAGATGTTTTAAAATTATGTTTGTTTGAAAGAAAATTCAGAAGCTCTTTCCTCAATTAGGCCTGGATGGATCTACAGGACAATATGTGCACATACTGCCATACCTGAACATATAAATGTTAAGACATTTCTGTTTACTCACCTGATTATGCATTTCTACAGCTGGTGAATAAGATCTTAATGATAATGAAAACTTGAGAAGGCCCAGTTGTTATTTGGAAGGAATAAGTTTTTCTGCTATGGACAGAATCATCTCATACACTTTTAGGTTCTTCTGAAAGGAAAAAACATGCTCATTAAATAATGCTCGTCATTTTTCAACCCCATAGAGTCCGTCACCCCATACATGCGGTTCAGTTCACTCTTACCCCAAAGACCCAGAACCACGTATAGTATGCGTATCATGGAAATATTGTTTTGTTCCTTTTTGAACAGTAAATTTATGATCATTACGTTCCTTCAGATATGATTGTTGGCTCTTATTTGAGCTATCTTAGGGAATGTTAAAATGTATGAGAGGAGTCAGAAAAACATAATTTTATAGATGTTTCATAAACTAGTGGTAAAATGGGGCAGCTTCTCACCACTTCAAATATAATACTAAATTCCAGATAATTTAAAAACATAAAGAACGGTCTCGCTGAATTTTTCTGAGTACATTGGTAACTCACATCACTTCATTCTGTTGAATTCATGTACATCTGGACACCAAAATGACACTCACTCAATGGACCTCAAGGACATCCATGTAGAATGCTAGATATCACTTTTCCCTGTACATCCATAAGTTCCATTTTTTCATGTAATAATGAGAACAATTCCATTTAATTTAACTTATTCCTGCACTGTTGCATACATTTTGACAGCAGTTATTCAATTTTAAGTAGATTATTCTCTGTCTAAAGGTTAGAATGGTTTAAAAAACCTTAAAGCACTCTCCTGTCAAAAGACAATAGGTTGGGCCATGCTTTATTTTGTGTAAAGTCACGGCATTAACGAATGCGTTCCACGCACCAGTGCACAGGGTTAATTAATCTTGCTTTAAGCCAGATAAGGCACTCGGCGCTGAGCTTTACAAGAAATAGAGCAGATAATTGTCTTGGCTTCGCCTCGCCAATTATCTGCTCTATTTCTCGTAAAGCTCAGCGCCTCGTACTTTACCTATACCATAAAAATAAAATTGCTCAGAGAATTACTTGCAGAATTGCAAAATTAGACTGATTTTCAAATTCAAGCTGTATTTTTGTCCCATGTTTCTTTTCTGTAAGTTGAGAAGTGTTAATGACATGGTTTTCACTAGAGGATCAGAAGGGTGTTACCGCCTCTGGAAATTGTACCACCTGCTGGAGTAAATTGGTTTTCCTTGAAATGTGTTATCAGTGTTGCATCAGTTTCTCTTGCTGACAAAAGAGAAAACCTAGGGACAACACTGGGCATATCTCTGCTAGTTTTGAAGATATGAGGGGCAAGAAAATATGCAAAGTTCAGTCGGTGGGGAAAAAGTAGGCCAAAGGTCAATTTCAAGGACACAGTATATGACTTCCTATACAAGTTCAATAGTAACAATGTGCATTTCTTTGCCAATTTTGGAGATATAAAGGTCAGAAAATATGCAAAGTTCAGTTCATGGTGAAAAGTAGATCAAAAGTCAAATCCAAGAGCATATTTGGAATCTCCGCATAAGACTTTCGGTCAGACTTCTGTAGTAATTTTTCCCATAATTCCTTTGGTTTGGGAGATATTTAGCATTGAATTTTCAAAAATTTTGTCAAGGGTGCATTTAAAAAAGCGTCACGCCCAGGCCAATGCACAGTCTGAGACAAAAAACCCATGGGGTTTAAGTTGAGATTATATGTGACCTAAATCCAAGATATGGGGACACAGGTCCTTGTGGTCTAGGAGGAGAAGCGGTAACGGTGACTTGTTTCCGGTACCCGACTGCGGAGCCGGCAGAGCTGTACGAGACAGGTCTGGACTAAAACCACAAGTACAGCCAGCATACACACTGGTGGTACTAATTAAATGGTCACTATGGTGGCAGTGCCCAAAACAGGGTTTCCTTTAATTATTACATAATGCTTTAGAGCCACCAATTTTTAACTATGCACTGCAAGTAACATACATAGGAAAAAGATGTGATTAGCATAGGTCTTCAGGCCCATCAAAATTCAAGGTAAGTTTGAGAATCATAAGCAGCAAGTTTTCCTGAAATGGTCACCATAATGGCATGTCCAAAATAGGTTTTCTTCAATATACAAACAATAAAACATAATGCTTAACAGCNGTAAAGCTCAGCGCCTCGTACTTTACCTATACCATAAAAATAAAATTGCTCAGAGAATTACTTGCAGAATTGCAAAATTAGACTGATTTTCAAATTCAAGCTGTATTTTTGTCCCATGTTTCTTTTCTGTAAGTTGAGAAGTGTTAATGACATGGTTTTCACTAGAGGATCAGAAGGGTGTTACCGCCTCTGGAAATTGTACCACCTGCTGGAGTAAATTGGTTTTCCTTGAAATGTGTTATCAGTGTTGCATCAGTTTCTCTTGCTGACAAAAGAGAAAACCTAGGGACAACACTGGGCATATCTCTGCTAGTTTTGAAGATATGAGGGGCAAGAAAATATGCAAAGTTCAGTCGGTGGGGAAAAAGTAGGCCAAAGGTCAATTTCAAGGACACAGTATATGACTTCCTATACAAGTTCAATAGTAACAATGTGCATTTCTTTGCCAATTTTGGAGATATAAAGGTCAGAAAATATGCAAAGTTCAGTTCATGGTGAAAAGTAGATCAAAAGTCAAATCCAAGAGCATATTTGGAATTTCCGCATATGACTTTCGGTCAGACTTCTGTAGTAATTTTTCCCATAATTCCTTTGGTTTGGGAGATATTTAGCATTGAATTTTCAAAAATTTTGTCAAGGGTGCATTTAAAAAAGCGTCACGCCCAGGCCAATGCACAGTCTGAGACAAAAAACCCATGGGGTTTAAGTTGAGATTATATGTGACCTAAATCCAAGATATGGGGACACAGGTCCTTGTGGTCTAGGAGGAGAAGCAGTAACGGTGACTTGTTTCCGGTACCCGACTGCGGAGCCGGCAGAGCTGTACGAGACAGGTCTGGACTAAAACCACAAGTACAGCCAGCATACACACTGGTGGTACTAATTAAATGGTCACTATGGTGGCAGTGCCCAAAACAGGGTTTCCTTTAATTATTACATAATGCTTTAGAGCCACCAATTTTTAACTATGCACTGCAAGTAACATACATAGGAAAAAGATGTGATTAGCATAGGTCTTCAGGCCCATCAAAATTCAAGGTAAGTTTGAGAATCATAAGCAGCAAGTTTTCCTGAAATGGTCACCATAATGGCATGTCCAAAATAGGTTTTCTTCAATATACATACAATAAAACATAATGCTTAACAGCATAATCATCACCTATCTTTAATTATGGTCTGATCTGATTTTCAAACTCAACCTGTATTTCAGTAAGATTGATCACTCCTGTGAGTTTAAAACAAAAGGCCTCTCGGTTTTCCTTGACCAATCATGCCGATTTTAAAACCACATCTACATTTTATGAATATGCATCAGTTCTGTAAGTTTTAAGCCAAAAGGTGAAACAGTTTTCCACTTATGGGGTTATCACTGAAAGTGGATTGGCAATGCTGCCAAAAATGCCCACGATGACGAATGCAGGTGACTTCTAACAGCATTCCAGTGACTGGGAATATCATGCAATGCAGATAGCAACTGCCGATTGATCACTGATGAGGGTCACTCACTGATCCTTAAACTGAAGTATATTCTTGGCAATTCATAAAACAATCTTTTTAATAGCATGTAGTTCATTCAGTTAAACCAGTAGAAACCACTGCGTTCATTCAGTTAAACCAGTAGAAACCACTGCGTATAAAAGATGACATGCAAAATGAAATCATATCATTCAGAAAAACTGTATACTTACTATCTTGCATGTCAGCAGTGTTGGCCTCTGCCACAGTATCCACAAAAGCCCAGAACATGGCATTACTCTCTTTGGCCAGAAACTCGCTGAAATGATATAGTCATTTTCATTTAGCTTATGCAGGTTGTGAAAATTTAGTAGATAATAAAAGCCTCATGTTCAGATTTTAATTGTCCATATATATATATATATATATATATATATATATATATATATATATATATATATATATATATAGTAAAACTAAGTCAACCCAAAACCTTCAGACTATCACCCCATTTCCATAGATTAGATCGACCTACTTTAGATCGACCTAACTCCCTGGCGGACACGAAAATTAATTACCCCCTTAAAGCTTGCAGTAGGCGGGACGGACATTTAAGTCGGATTATCTGAAAGTAATCTAGTGAGACTCCCCGCGGGGATAGATCGATCTAAAATCTATGGGAATAGAGCCTATCTTTCACTATGAGCTAATTCTAAGTGACTGTCTTTGCTTATAAGACCTCAGGCACATGCTCACAGGACCCATACCAAAATAAGATCATCTCTTTAAGGCCCCACTATGCTATGCAGTTCTCAAGGGCCAATTTTCCATATTCCTTAAAACTTACATAAAAAAAAAAGTTATTGAGACAACGGCGACGACAGACGCCGGTGACGGCTATATGTACAGACACATTGTGTCTGTACACAAAAAAAAAAAAATTAGCAGGATCAATCTATCTCAGTGAGGATGGATTCTCACCAAGGTGCAGTCAATGTAATAAGCTCACTTGTCGGGCACGTCCCATCCTAACATAAAATACTTAGGTAAAGTCAGGAAAGCTTTGTGGTCTATGACTCTGTTCATGTTGCAGTGTGAGGGGGTGTGCCAGACAAATTAAGCTGATCAAATTGACTGTACCTAAGCAAAATTCCCACTGAGATAGATCAATCCAGCTACTGCGATAACTTCAATTCTGAACAAGGCCTATGACAGAAATATGTTAGAACTAGCAAGTGTTCTATTTCTAACAAATATTCAGACATAGGAAAAATTTTGAGAAGTGAAGGTCCAGAGGATCTGTACTACAAAAGATCTGCAGTTGCTCCCAATTCTGTGCTGGTCGAACTAAGTATCTTATTTGTGTTAGTCTATGTTTAGCCTCTGACATATCTGCAAGCGGCGATGACCTATCAGACAATGAGTTTCCCCAAGTCTGAATATTTTGTAATTGGTTCTTATAAACGCAGTACATGAACTCACTGCCAAGCAGGCTATACCTAGTTTCTAGCATCAGTGGTGTCGACTCCCATTTGGCATCTAGTGACACAGAGACAAATTTGGACTTGGCATCTACTTCACTGCAGGCATGCAGCACCAAGATAACTAACAAAACAAGCCCTGCCTGCAAAAAAATGAAATGGGAATTAATTTTTATTACTTTAATTTCTAATTCTACACCATGACAGATAAGAACATTTAAATGTACAGATCTGTATTTAAATCTGTATACAGACTGCATCAATATATAATTAAGTAAATGACAAGCAAATGCTTAAATGAAAATTAAATCAACAAATGGACAAAAGAACAAAATTTAAGATTTGGGTTATGATCCATTAATTAATAGGAAAATAAAAATGAAAATTTAAATTAGAATATTAATAGTAATAAAATTCCCAATGCAATTTATCTGAAAGGCAGAAACACTGATCAAAGTTACCACATGTTGAAATAAGGAATATTAATGAAAAGTCATATATATATATATATACATACATATATATATATATATATATATACAGAGGCGTAATCAGACCTTTTAAAATTGTACACACAGATTTTCAAGATTCCCATGTACACTTAAGCGAACAGATAAAGGGCAGATAAAATTAAATGTGTCAAATATCATAGCTCACTTTTCACCAGTAATAAAATCATCAGTTTTAACTCGTTCAGTTTTAAAATGTTAAATACATTCCGGTGATTTAATTAAGTTCCGTTTTATTATTTCACTCAGAACCAAACAATCGATACGATCCTCCACTGACGCTCCTTCCTGAACGAACTCCATTGAATGAATATGAAAATTTCCTTCTCGTCTCGCTGAGACCGAGTCGGTTGATGATCTTCCGCAAACAAAAGCCATTGAACGAATATGAGGTTGCAAACGATCTCCCGCTGACGATACAAAAATTGCATTCTCGTCTCGCTCTTTGGCAAATGAAGTCTCTTTAACAAATATGAAAATTGCCTCCTCGTCTCTATCGGATTGCGAATGATCTCTCGCTGAAAATAAAAAATTGCCTTTTTGTCTATCAGCTTTGTCAGGTGCCATATGTATGAAGGTCTGGAAGGTGTTCCCTTTCATAATTTGGCAGTTAGTTTGCTAAGAGTTTGTTTAGGGCGTAGACGTGTTTTGTACCGCATGAAGGCCACTCTTGTCACTGCAGCATACGGCGTGGAATGTGTATTTTAAAGTTAATGAAAATATTATATTGTGTTTTGTAAGCTTTAGAAAGTAGTTTCTTCATGACTGAATAATAGCCTGCACTACAGATTAAAGTAGTATCATTCAACTGGACGCATCATAAAAGCTGGGTACGTCAAATTACTCTTAGAAAATTTTATGCAATTTTATGCCACCCAGACAAGCCAAGACGTCATTTTTTTTTAAATCTTAAACCGTCTAGCCCTCATTGAAAATATAGGCCATCTGGTGATGTCAGCGGCCGTCCAAATGACTGCTGGATGGTTCGCTTGGAAAAGCCTTGCTCATAACGGTATATTTATTTAACAAGGGGCTTACTGACGCAAATTTTGGACACTTATTGTGCCTGCTTGTATCGAGCTAAATTCTGAATAACAGCGCCGCACTGCTGTTCAATGTGGTTTGCTTCAGTTATCCTGAGTTCTCAGAAAATAATCTGAAAAACAGTTGATCATTACACTATTATTAAGCCTTCTTGCGATCTTGTGATATCCATGGTCAGCTTCTCTAAGTTGAACTTATATACAGTGTATGGTATCACCCAGCTTACAGTTCTGATATATTTAAGTTTAATTATTTGTTTGTAATTCTAAAAATTGCACATGCCACCCTGTTTTCTTCAACTATCAAAATTTGGGAATAAGAGCACTTTTTGCTTAAGAGTTTAAAATACACAGCAACATTTGCTTCAGTTATCCTGAATTCTCAGAAAATAATCTGAAAAACAGTTGATCGTCGCACTATTACGCCTTCTTGCTATCTTGTGATATCCAAGTTTAAAATACACAGCAACATTTGGAACACACAAAAATGTTTGTTATAATAAGGCAAATCCATCCTCTTTTGCACGAAAGCGCTCCCATTGTTATCAAACACATAGGAATGTTTTGAAAGGCATTCAAAGATGATAACCCAATGTTGTTATCCAGTATCAGGGACGTGCTTATATATATATATATATATATATATATATATATACATACTCACATCCAAAATTATAAGTTCCAACAACAATGAGACATCAAAATTTCAACTTGGCGCCAATCTTATGAGCACACTTTCCACTTAGAATATATATATATACACAGCATCATATTTTGCTATATATTCATTTAAACCACAGCTAGCAGTAGAACAAAAGACTTGGCTGCTGTATTCCACATACAGGCATATCACGTACTAGTGCGTTTCATGCTCTGTTGCACTCCCGTTACTCACTAGCTAATAAGGGCCCAGTATCTGTTTATCGGGTCCTAGCGCCTACCACGGATCAGACATCAATGAAAACAAGTCATTTCTCAAACTTTTGATATCATGAAACAGCATTTATCCAAAAACTGATAGTTAGCGTTCTCGAATTTGAATGACAAGTTGCTCAAAATACAGATTGTGAAAACGAAAGTTTAAAAATCTACACATCCAAAGTAAATGTCCTGCCTTCTTTGACAATGACAATTTTCTTAATCTGTGAAGGCATGTGAGGTATCAAGGTATCATCACCATCATTACATGATGGGCACGGGTGGATCCAGGATTATTTGAAGGGGGTTGGGGGGGGTCCAAAATGACAGGCCTCAGTTGTGAAGCTGCTCATCGCCCCTTGGTGTGGGGTTTGGGGCCTGCTCAAGGGCCCAATTTTTGATGTTTTGGAGAGCAAACTGTATATAAGAAGGCCAAATAAGCTCAAGGGTCAGAAGAGAAAAGCATAAGGCAATAAAGGTTGCCGTCTTGGATCTACTTGATCATAACAAACCCGTGTTCATCACACATACATGGGTACTTTTGTAGTATACCCCCCCACCCTGTAACTTCCTGAAACTTTCATTTTTCAAACATTTTTTTTACATTGTCTTTTTCACCTATGTCAAAGCTGTTGAAATAAAATGTTTTTGTAATTACCTGTGGTCTTTTTATTAGTTTTAATCATGTTTAATCCACCCCATTGAAATACAATATGAAAATTTACAATGTACCCGCAGTCAATAACTTGCCGCGTTTTAGTTGGCTACTCTACCTTATTTTATGTGAACATAGGATTGATACAATGTATACTTGGACTTCCNGGGGTGGTGGGGGGGGGGGTATACTACAAAAGTACCCATACATGTACAGTTAACAGAATACTACTAGTGCGTGGTCAACAATCACTGTCTTTGAGTCATTCACACAGCCTCCATCGCAAACTTCAATAAATTTCATATCTTCGGGAATTTTGTAACGAAAAACACTAAACAAGATTATGAAGAAAATCACTTCATTCTAACAATTATTCTATCTACAAACTGAAAATTTTTGACGCAAAAATCTCTTAAATTGTGGCCTCTATCACCGGACGGAAATTCGACCACGAACTCACACACAATCGCACAATCAGGCAAATAAGCTGAGCAGTAGACTTACAAAAATATTTCGCAAATAATAAACACGAATGCTGCTTACCATTATAGCCGGAATCTTCATGTCGTCTGAGAATTAGAAATGCACCGGAAAGGCATCTGCGCAGACTCGGACTCCTTCTTGAGGAGAGTTGAGATAAACAAACAGTCGGGTTTACAAACAGAAATACCCCACCCCATTAATGCTAGAAACATTAATTCCCATTGATTTGTAAAGGTCAGCCCCGTCCTAGATTTTGAACCAATTGGCCACGCTTACACCATTTATCTGCACCAATATATTGACACCGCCACCAACCTGACATTAAAGAATAAAGTTTACACTATTGCCGCAGATCGACGACGATACCGGTTATGCAATCATCTTACTTAAATGACCTGGACCAATCCCAACGCTTTGAGCTACCCAGCAAGGGCTAACACTTGCCAGCCACTACAGTGGCTAGATCACATTATAACATCTTTGACTTTCAAATTAAAGTGACTACAGCCGATTTCCACAGCATCTACATTCCGATTGTGGTAGTTGAGCTGCCACAATCGGAATATCAATGCTGTCGAAATTGGTTTAGTCCCTTTGTAGTACTTTTAAAATGCTGGAATTGGTCAGGACCAGCGCAATCGATGTGTCGCAATAGGTCAGGCTCAACTACCACAATTGGAAAATCGAAGATGTTAAATTAGGATCTAGCCCCTGTAGCAGCTGCTGGATTTTGACTCTGGCTTGGTAGCTCAGTTGGTAGAGCAGTGGCTTGGTGTGAAAGAGTCCCAGGTTTGAATCCCAGAGGAAGCCTGGAGTTTTTCTCCCAGTCTATCGATTGGTCCAGCTCAACTACCATAATCGGAGTGTCGATGCTNAAGGAAAGTGCACGGCGCCGACATCGGCGAGGACAGACGCAGATGATGGCAATATGTACAGACACAGATGTGTCTGTACATAAAAATGAATGTTACAATAAGGCAAATCCATCCTCTTTTGCAAGAAAGTGCTCCCATTGTTATCAAACACATTGGAATGTTTTGAAAGACATTCAAAGATGATAACCCATTGTTGTTATCCAGTATCATGGATGTGCTGTTATATACATATATATATATACATATATATATATATACATACATACACACACACACACACACAATTAAAATAAATAAATAAATAAACAAAAGATATGCAATAACCCCGACTCTGAGTTTCACGGGCATACCCAGAAGGTGTGCCCAATCGTCAGGAGGTTTATTTGAAAATGGTTTTATTAGCCGTTTTACATACACAGCGTGACGACACTTAAGTCGCACGCCGTGTTAGTTACGTCACTTTATGCCCACACATGGTAATTATTTCAGTTTTTTTATTCAGAGTATCTGGTGTTATCATTATCAACAGTTAACCTAGACTTAGAATCCGGGAAACACAGGCCGTTTGTAAAACCGAACGCCCAGCCGATCTATGTTCACAAAAACTCAAATCACCCCCCCCCCCCAATAATAAGGAACATTCCTAAAGCCATCGGCAAAAGATTGCAACCCCTTTCGTCTGAAGGAGTGGTAGCAGAAGAATCAGATAACGTATACACGACGGCCCTTCAAACCGCGGGCTATACCGTAATGTCGTTGGGTAATAACTCTAAAGCAAGCAGCTCTCGTCACAGTGAAAAGACAAAACAGGAAACTTATTTGGTTCAACCCACCATACTCGAAAAATGTAAGAACGAAAATTGGGCATATATTCCTCCAGTTGCTAGACAAACATTTCCCTCGCGGAAGCAAGCTTTATCGATTATTCAACAGATCGACTGTAAAAGTAAGCTACTGTTGTATGAAAAACATACAGCAAATCATTCATGGTCACAATAAAAAAATTCTCAAAAACATGTCAGTTAACACTCAAGATAAGAAATGTAATTGTAGAGCTCCAAGTAAGTGTCCTTTGAGAGGGGAATGTTTGTCTAGCAACATTGTGTACCAAGCATCAGTTACTACTAAGGACAAATGCATGAAATATATAGGTCTTTGTGGTGGGCAATTTAAGATACAATAATCACACCAAGTCATTTAGAGACAAGAAATATGCTGCAGATACTGAATTATCCAAATACATTTGGAAATTAACAGAAAATAAAACCCAGTATGACATTAGATGGGACATCATAAAGAAATCAACACCGCAAAGGAGAAATCAGCACCTATGCAATCTTTGCTTAGACGAAAAACTGTTGATAATGATAACACCAGATACTCTGAATAAAAGAACTGAAATAATTACCATGTGTCGGCATAAAGTGACGTAACTAACACGGCGTGCTACGTAAGTGTTGTCACGCTGTGTATGCAAAACTGCTAATAAAACCATTTTCAAATAAACCTCCTGACGATCGGGCACACCTTCTGGGTATGCCCGTGAAACTCGGAGTCAGGGTTATTGCATGTCTTTTGATTATTTATTTATTTATTTATTTTAATTGTGTACAAATGCTCCGTATTGTTGAGCACTCTGTTCCACACTTACGCTTGTTATATATACTCACATCCATAATTATAAGTTCCAACAACAATGGGACATGGCCATAAAAATTCTAACTTGGCACTAATCTTATGAGCACACTTACCACTTAGAATATGCATCATATTTTGCTATATATTCATTTAAAGGCATAATAACTCTTTGTATGAGACCTATATTTCACAATAATAACCTTGTGAATAACTCATAGAAATATAATATATTCTGTTTTACCACAAAAACAGCAGTTATAGCTTTTATTCTGATATTTGAACTTGGCTTTAGACCACGTGACCTCCATTGATGTCTATACTCTGTTAAAATCTCTTAAGAGATTTTAACAAAAAACCAAACTTTTTAGAAAAAAACCAGGGACTAACTTTGAATGTAAAAATGGATTCATTAACCATTGGTAAGTATGGGAAAATTGTTGTTTACTCCAGGAAAATTCATTTTTTGGCCGAAACGAAGAGTTATTATTGCTTTAAACCACAGGTAGTGCGTAGAACAAGACAGGCATGTAATGCACCAGTGCAATTCACAGTCTGTTGCACTCCCGTTACTCACTAGCTAATAAGGGCCCAGTATCTGTATATCGGGTCCTAGTGCCTACCACGGATCAGACATCAATGAAAACAAGTCGTTTCTCAAACTTTTGATATCATGAAACAGCATTTATCCAAAAACTGATAATTAGAGTTTTGGATCTAATTGGCTATGATTGATCATAACAAACCCGTGTTCATCACACATACATGTACAGTTAACAGAGTACTACTAGTACATGCAGACATGCTGAAACTGTTGGTCCGATCAGTCATGACAGGGAAAATTTGTCCGGACCGGTAAAAAATTGGACTTGGTCGGTACAAAGGACCGATAACTGTTTTAAGAACCACAATTTTGAATTTACAGTCATCATTCGACATACTTCACTATTAAAATTATATAAAACCCAAAGCGTTTTTCCCCTCCATTTTAAACCTATCACATTCACAAACAAAGTTAGCTTCCCAATCTTACTGACAGTATCTGTCTCAAACGAATAGGGTGTTTTTCGGTCCAACAAAAATCCATTTGGTCCAGCAAATTTTTCATTACTGCCGGTCCAAATGTCCGACCATTCTGAAAAGTTTTCAGCATGTCTGACGTGGTCAACAATCACTGTTTTTGAGTCATTCACGCAACCTCCACCACAAACTTAAATAATTTTCACATCTTCAGGAATTTTGTAACGAAAAAATCACTAAACAAGATTATGAAGAAAATCAGTTCATTTTAACAATTATCTATATCTACAAATTGAAAATTGTGGCCTCTATCACCGGACGACCACGAACTCACACACAATCGCACAATCAGGCAAATAAGCTGAGCAGTAGACTTACAAACATCTTTCGCAAATAATAAACAGGTATGCTGCTTACCATTTTAGCCGGAATCTTCGTGTCGTCTGAGAATTGGAAATGCACCGGAAACGCATCTGCGCAGACTCGGACTCCTTCTTGAGGAGAGTTGAGATAAACAAACAGTCGGGTTTACAAACAGAAATGCCCCACCCCATTAATGCTAGAAATTTTAATTCCCATTGATTTGTAAAGGTCAGCCCCGTCCTAGATTTTGAACCAATTGGCCACGCTTACACCATTTATCTGCACCAATATATTGACACCGCCACCAACTTGGCAATTAAAGAATAAATTTTACACTATTGCCGCAGATCGACGACGATACCGGTTATACAATCATCTTACTTAAATGACCTGGGACCAATCGCAACGCTTTACACACACCGAAATTGCGACAAATTCCAGTAATGAGAGCGATGGGGGGGGGGGGGGATGCTGTCGAAATCGGCTCTAGTCCCTTTGTAGTACTTTAAAAATACTAAAATTGGCCAGGAATAGCGCAATCGTGTGTCGCGATTGGTCAGGCTCAACTATCACAATCGGAATTTCGATGCTGTCAAAATCGGCTCTAGCCCCTGTAACAGCTGCTGGATTTTGACTTTGGCTCGGTAGCTCAGTTGGTAGAGCAGTGGCTTGGTGTGCAAGAGTCCCAGGTATGAATCCCAGAGGGAGCCTGGAGTTTTTCTCCCAGCCTATCGATTGGTCCAACTCAACTACCACAATCGGAGTGTAGATGCTGTCGAAATTGGCTCTAGTCCCTATGTAGTACTTTAAAAATGCTGGAATTGGTACGTAAAAGCACAATCGGTGTGTTGCGATTGGTCAGGCTTAACAATCACTATCGGAATGTCGATGATGTCGAAATCGGCTCTAGCCCCTGTAGCAGCTGCCGGATTTTGACTCTGGCTAGGTAGTTCAGTTGGTAGAGCAGTGGCTTGGTGTGCAAGAGTCCCAGGTTCGAATCCCAGAGGGAGCCTGGGGTTTTTCTCCCAGTCTATCCATTGGTCCAGCTCAACTACCACAATTGGAGTGTCGATGCTGTCGAAATCGGCTTTAGTACCTATATAATACTTTAAAAATACTAGAATTGGTCAGAACTCGCGAAATCTGTTTGTCACGATTGGTTCGGCTCAACTACCACAATCGGAATGTCGATGCTGTCGAAATCGGCTGTAGTCCCTTTAAAAATGCTGGAATTGGTCAGGACTCGCGAAATCTGTTTGGCGCAATTGGTTCTGCTCAACTACCACAATCGGAATGTCGATGATGTCGGAATCGGCTCTAGCCCCTGTAGCGGCTGCCGGATTTTGACTCTGGCTAGGTAGCTCAGTTGGTAGAGCAGTGGCTTGGTGTGCAAGAGTCCCAGGTTCGAATCCCAGAGGGAGCCTGGGGTTTTTCTATCAGTCTATCCATTGGTCCAGCTCAACTACCACAATCGCAGTGTCGATGCTGTCGAAATTGGCTCTAGTCCCTTTGTGGAACTTAAAATTGGTCAGGACTCGCGAAATCTGTTTGTTGCGATTGGTTCAGCTCAACTACCACAATCAGAATGTTGATGCTGTCAAAATCAGCTCTAATCCCTTTGTAGTACTTTAAAAATGCTGGAATTGGTCAGGACTAGCGCACTCGGTGTGTCGCGATTGGTCAGGCTCAACAATCACTATCGGAATGTCGATGATGTCGAAATCGGCTGTAGTCCCTTTAAAAATGCTGGAATTGGTCGGGACTCACGAAATCTGTTAGTCGCCATTGGTTCTACTCAACTACCACAATCGGAATGTCGATGATGTCGAAATCAGCTCTAGCCCCTGTAGCAACTGCCGGATTTTGACTCTGGCTAGGTAGCTCAGTTGGTAGAGCAGTGGCTTGGTGTGCAAGAGT